TCTAGGCTTTGTTCCTGATTAATATTGGTATACAGGGATTTAATATCCAGGGTACACAATATTATATCTGGTTTGAGATCTTTGAGGAAAAGCAAAAAGTGGGAGCCATATTTTATGTAATAATTTAAGGATGGTAAAAAGTTCTTAATGTGGAAGTCTACAAAGCTTGATATTGATATTCTCTGTTAGACTACCAATTCCAGAAACAACAGGTCTGCCAGGTGGTTCCTCTAGGTTTTTATGAATATGGGGTAATATGTATAAGAAAGCCCTTAAGAGATGTTCATTAAGTAAAAATGTTTTCTCCTTCAGAGAAATCTCCCCTCTTCAAGTAACAGTTATAGTTCTTTAAAGTATTCTTTTGTAGGGTGAGATTTAAGTTTTTTTTATAGAAAGTTTGATTTGTTAATTGTCCATCCATCCACTCGCTTATCCTTTTCAGGGTCGCAGGAGCCTAGCTGTCATAGGGCGAGAGGCGGGGTACACCCTGGACAGGTCGCCAGTCTGTTGCAGGGCTAACACACAAAGACAGATAACCATTCGCACACACATTCACACCTATGGGCAATTTGGATTGATCAATTAACCTATCCCCACTAACTGCATGTCTTTGGACTGTGGGAGGAAGCCGGAGAGCCCGGGGAGAACATGCAAACTCACACAGAAAGACCCCGGCCTGATGGTGGAATTGAACGCAGGACCTTCTCGCTGTGCAGCAACAGCGCTAACCACCATGCTACCATGCTGCCCTCTATGAAAAATGCCATTATATATAAGGTAAGATGAAGAGTTGTGGTGAATTGACTGACTGCATTCCCAAGACTTGTTACTCCACAGTAATATCACATTAATCTGCAATAATGTTTTTTTATACAAACATTGGGTTGAATTGAAACCATCCTAAATAGAGTCAAATATTAAGGTTGAAAGTATTAGAGTAAAAATAGTAGCATTGTACCACCGTGCTGCCTTTGTTAAACGTCTTAAATTTTAATTTTCATATTGAATTTTGTCCATTATGACTATGGCACCTCCTTTGTCGGCAGGTTTGATGACAATGATGACAATGGATTTATTCTGTTCAAGTTCTGTCAGTGCTTGTTGTTAGTCATCTGTTAGATTGTGTGAAGTAAAGGTTTTCTGTTAAATATATTTTTCAAGTTCTATGAGTCTACAGTGTGTATCTATCAAGTGGTTTATGTTCTTAGGACAAAAGCTGCTTTTAATGTAAAAGGTACTTTTGTGTACATTATTGTGGGAAGGTTCATTGTTCATAAAAAAAATTGCATCTAACATTTCTAAAAACATTATGTAAATCTCAAAAGAGTTCAAATTGACCTACAGAAGGAGTTGGTACAAAAGAAAGACCAAGTTCAAGCACTGACAGCTGAGCAGGGGTCAAAGCAGTGTTACTCAAGTTAACAACAGCTAACTTCTTCCCAGGAATCGGGATCGGGTCCATGGACGGTTCTGTGAGTCTTTTCATTTTTCCCCACCGTGTGCATTTGGATTTGGGCCTCTTCTGGACAGTGGTTCCAGGTGGGGAAACTCCGTTTGGTCCAAGAAAGGATATATGGAGTGGTTGGGTAATTTGTGCTGTGACCTTTTCTTATTTGTGGTAGTTAAAGGAAGCCTTGGATGTGTTTTCTTAAAACAAACTTTCTGTTGCGTTTGGTGTGGTTCAGTGATCGTGGCAGCATTCATAGTTGAATTGAGTATCTTTGGACCATGGGTGTGTGAATCCCTTTTTGCATAATCTCATCTCTTAGGAATTTGGCTCTTTTGAGGTCCTTTGTTTTATTTTCATATTCCATTAGTCTTAAATCAATTTAAGAAAGAAGGTGAAGTTGTGCCAGAAATTTTTGTTGCTATCTGGAGTTATGGAAAGACTGCACTTACCTCAAACAGTGCCTGAATACAGGATAACGCACTTTGAATTGCCGATTTATTTATTTTTATTACATTTAACATCCATGATTTTGAAAGGGGAAAAAACTCTTTCAAACAACCTGGAACTTCAAAATGAAGGAATGAAGCATAGCTTTGTTAAGCATTCCATATTTGTTAAAGTGCTTGTGGTTTTGTACACTTTCATGAAAACTTCAATGCAAGGATTTACAGAATTCACAAGGTGATGTCATAATTTTGATTAAAATTGCTTTAACAAGTGGAGAAAAGCTTGTTTAATAGCCTCTAGCCTCTATGGTAGGGCTGGGCAATATGAGGAAAATCTAATATTGCAATATTTTTTGGCTACATCAAAATACACAATATATATTTTCACAATATGTCTTGACCCCAGCTCCCCCGGTACCAGGAGCTGCAGTTTAACCCTCCATGAATTCAAGTTTTATATGTAAATACCAGCATATACTGGAAACACTCTCCAAAGTGCAGCTAAACCCATTTTCGGTTAGTATGTTATTTTATTTTAGTTATTTTAAAATATATATTAAAACCATTGTTGGTTTTAATCTAGTTTAAACCAAACCACTCCACTGGATTTAGCTACACTTTGGACAGTGTTTCTGGAATGCAGAAGCTAGCGAGCTGATTGGAGACCAAAAGTCAATCAGAATTTTTGCATCAAAGTCTGTGATTGATTGGTTTTGTGGCACATTTATAATGGTGTACAGAAAGAGCTGAGTGCAGGGTGCAGAGATGTTGAGGACAGGAGCGACACACTGAGAGCAGGTCCGCAGATGTCTGTGAGCACACAGTACACAGATCTGACCACAGAATCTTTTAACGGACTTGACATGGCGGACATTTAAGACACTCCTCCTTTTCTTCCTCTTTTTTTATCTTTAAATGGTTTGGAATATTATGCTTTTTTCGTTTTCTGTGAATTGGAATGGCACTTTGAGAATACATGATTTGAGAAGCTTGAAAAATCTGTTGTTTGTAAGTTAAGTGTGTCTGATACAGCATAAGATACAGTGTGCGATGATAATAAGGGGGTGTTAGGATACTAAAATGAACATGAGGCTTGATAAATCATAAAGTCAAGACTGATCAAAACAATGAAGCTATAAAGAGGAGCAGTGCACATACAGTGGTGAAGAGAGCATATATTTTATTCTGCTACCCTCATAAAAGTCAGCCTGTGTGTATCTGTCTAAATGTATTTACTGCGTACTTTCACACTAAGGAACTCTCATTATGACATCATTGCAAATTATGATGCATTGCAATGTTGAAACTGTATTTCCTGCTTGTCTCCAAGTGTTCAGTCAATACTGGCTAGACAAACCAGATCAGGTGTAATAAATCACTCCAATCGAAATGATGCAAGACTGAGCTCGATATATAATTCGATTATAAACAACTTTGTGTAACTAATACATTTGCTCTTAATAATAAAGTACTATAGAGTAAAATAGTGTTTTTATTTAAAATTAAATTATTCAATAATAAATTACTTTAGTAATGTTATAAATAAATCAATGAATAAATAAATATAAATGAATAAATAAAAGGATATTTTTTTTAAAATGCAGAATTTATTCTACAACATTATTTAAGCACAGAATTCTTTATTTCAATGTATGTGGCTCTTGTGGTCCTCCATTGACCTTTGACTGAGCTCTGACCAGAAATCTCCCACTGATTTGATTCTCAGCTCAGTCCACAGCTCAGTCAGTGATACAGTAAAGGAAAACTCAGCAGGAATTATCATTTAACTATTTTTAATTTTCTGTTAAAGGTTTGCACATACGATTTTTTATGGTGGTACATCATATTAAATTAATATATATATGAATTTAACTGTAAAAAACAAATGAAAACTGCTGCAAATCTTTTTCTGGCAAAGTAATTTAAGAAAACCAGGTTAGTGTTTCTTAGAGACACATGGGTGTTTTATCATTTTTACAAAGTGTGCAGCTCCTCACAGGTTCATTGAAAATAAACAGGTAGTTATTCTGTAAGAGATCACTGATGGGATAATAAAGCTGAATCCATATGTTTCTCAGTGAAATCAGCTCTAAACATTGATTTATACAGCTGTGGATATAAAAATGAGCTGGAGACCTGATTCTTCCAGAATCCTTTTCAAACCCAGACTCATGTTTCCATAAATCTGACAGAAAGTCAGTCTGAGTCTCAGAGACAGTAAATACGATTATCGTTAGATCTTCATCTTATAATATAAAGCACCTTGAGGCGACTGCTGTTGTGTTTTGGTGTTGTGGGTCCACAGAGGTTGAAACACATATATTTAATTTTTCCGATTTTAATGGATAAAAAAAGTTGGATATCATCTGCATAGCAGTGAAAATATGTGCTATCACAGGGGCAGTATCATAATTAATGAGGAACTCCTATTTACAGTCTATTAGATAGATATGATTCAAACCGCTGCAGCGCCGTACCTACCTACAGCATGCTCTGACTATAATATTCTAATAATAATAGAATATTATAGTCAACAGTATCAAACGCTGCACTGAGGTCTACCAGGACAAGCACAGAGATGAGTCCACTGTCAGAGGACATAAGAAGATAATGTATAACCTTCACTAAAGCGGTTTCTGTAGCAGGACAGCAGAGTGAAGACTTTTTTAAAGTACATGATATGTCATTTATATCACCAAGTAGAACTTGAGTCATGACTCGACTGATGATTCCTACCAAACTCTTCATTAAGTGGTTTGCAGGACGTTCTTCAGTACAAACTCAACTGATAATTTTGCGACTAAATGTTAAAACCACGAATTTTCTCTTTGGACTTCAGTGCCCTTTCATTTGAGTCAGATGTCGTGCCTCTCCAACACAAACCAAACAAATAGGTTCTCATTTATAAACAGGATTTATGGCACTTCCCACTCCCATTTCTAAAATCTTGATGTGATTGTGACGTGACCTTTCTACAAAACTGACTTTTCTTCTCCACATCTGGATGCCTACAATTTAGCACATCCTTGTTCTGACCATAAAGGGCCATGTTCACGTTATATTAAAAAGAAAAAGAAAAATTAAACCAGATTGATCAAAGCCTCAATTTCAAACAATATCGCAACATTCATTTTGACAGCAGCAGATTTGTTGAGTTTAATTTTAATTAAATAATCGCAAGTTCACAACAACAGTCAACCAAAGGCGCTTTGACCCGACAATAATAAATCTGATTGTTGCACACACTACAAGTCCTGCAGTAACACTTGTGCATGCAGACATTTTTCTTGAACATTTAAAGCTGAATGTGAGAGTTTGCCGGTGAATACATTTATATGATCCACATAAATGTCCTTCCTGGTGGTTTATTAAAAGGAGCACTGCATCTGGAAAAAAGTGGATATGAGGATGTACTTTTTTGTTCACACCTGTCAGATTCATGTGAAACATATTTCCACCTGCACTTTTTAATAAATAGGACATCAAGCTTTGTAGGAGATGCATTCACAGCTCCTGGTAAAAAGACAAACTGTTACGCTCCTATCAAAACTCGCCACTTTTTATAAGCCTGTTTTGATTTGGTTGTAGAACAAAGAAACATTCTTGCTCATTGTATCCTCTTCATTGTAAATGATTGTATGTTTTATCAGTTCCATCTCCAGCAACAGCTGATCAGTCTGAGAAGGCCATTGTGCGTCACAATGTGTTTGCTGACTCATCATTTTCTACTTTTGCCTGAATGTGACTCTGCAGACCCAGGCGGATGACTCTCTGCTGTGTGCAGCTTCATGTGTCTCTTTAGATGTCCCGTAACAGTGAAACGTTTCTCACAAACAGAGCAGCTGAATGGTTTTTCTCCTGTGTGAATCCTCATGTGGATCTTCAGGCTCCCCTTTTGGGCACAGCTTTTCCCACAAATATTACAGCTGAATGGTTTCTCTCCTGTGTGGACTCTCATGTGTTTGGTTAGGTCTCCTTTTTCTGCGCAGCACTTTCCACAGTAAGGACAGCTGAAGGGTTTCTCTCCTGTGTGAACTCTCATGTGCTTCTTTAGGTCTGTTTTCTGAGCACAGCCTTTCCCACAGACAGAGCAGCTGAAAGGTTTCTCCCCTGTATGGTACTTCATGTGTCTGTTGAGATGTTCTTTAACATGAAAACTTTTATTGCACACTGAGCAGGTGAACGGTTTCTCTCCTGTGTGGATCCTCATGTGTCTGGTCATGTTTCCCCTCCCACTGAAATTTTTCCCACAGAACAAGCAGCTGTATGGTTGCTCCCCAGTGTGACATCGCATGTGTGCCGTTAAGGAGCCACTGTCTTTAAATGACTTATCACAGTCTGTGCAGGGAAATGGTCTCTCTCCTGTGTGGTCTCTTATGTGTCTGTTCAAATTTCCCTTAAGGCTAAATCTTTTCCCACAATATGAGCAGGGAAATGGTCTCTCCTTGACTACAGTGCCAACATCAATGTCAGGATTTTTAACATCTCTACCTGACTGGGCTTCCTTTGTTTGTGTCCAGTCACAGTCACTGTCATCAGTTTCAGTCGAGTCCAGAGAGTTGTCTTCACTAACAGGCTGTAACAGTGGATCTGGATCTGAGTTCCTGTCTGCTTCTGGTCCTCCCTCCGAGCCTCTGCTCTCCTCAGTCCAGCAGTGATGAAGTTGTGAGGACTCAGGCTTCTCCTCATCATCTTCACTCTTCACGTGCACAGGGCTGAATGTGAACGTGGTGATTTCAGCTACCTGCAGGTCCTGAAGCTGTTCTCCTGTCTGACTGGCCCAGGCTTCTTCCTCTTCCTCTTTAATCTGTGGGGGCACTGGGTCTTCCCCCGGGTCCAGGCTGGAGCTCTTCTCCTGGTGTTCACGGGAAACTTCATCTTTGCTCCCCAACGGCTGCTGAACATCTGAAGGAAACACTGAAACAGACACAAAATGTGATCTCAGTTCTCTTTCAATCCTAGCAGAAATATGTTGTACCATCATATATGTTATAATGTCCACTACAGATTACAGATTGTTATGCAGAAGCAGCAGCTCGGGGTCAATTTGTGACACCAACATAGTCACATGACTAATTGGGATGCCAAGAGCCAGAAGCACACTTTCTTAACCCTGTACACTTAAACCTATCTCTGTTTTGGAGAAAGTAAGAGAGCAGAGGGAACAGAATGAGAATATATTTGATCTGTGTGATTATTTAACTTTACAATGTGGTGCCAAATCACATAAAGTTGACTCAGAGTGCTTTATTTTACAAAAGGTAAAGATCCTACACTGTTAAAGAGGAAATCAGGGGCTCAGGGAGGGGCGGACATCTGCCATGAACAGCTGGGTGTGAGGAGAAATCAGAATCAGAAAGACTTTATTTATCCCCAGGAGGCAATTACGATACAACAGAGCAGCATGACGTTGAAGATAAAACAAGAAAGAGAAAAGATGTGAGCACAGCCAGTGAGGACTTCGACCTTTCTGGGGCAAATAACTAAATATGTAATTTGTGGCATATGTGAAATTGGATTAATAATCAGCTGCCTTTCTCAGAGTCTTTCCTTCGTGTTGTTCTGGTCAGTGCTCAGTGCAGCAGCTTATGAACCAGGTCCTCGCCTGCTGCAGACTGGTCTAATGGAACTATCACCAGATGTGGTCCATCACAGAGAAGATTATCTAACTAGCTGATAGCAGGACCACAGACACTCTGTGGAAGTGCCTAGTTTATGCTCATGAACAGAGGTGTGCACCAAAAGTCAGCACTGCTTCTGAAGAAAAAATTTTAATATATTTTTTTGGCTTTATTAGATAGGTGCACAGTGAAAACTGACATAAAAGCGAAGGGAAAGACATGCGGCAAAGTGCCGCAGGTCGGACTCAAACCCGGGCCGGCCACACTCAGCCATGCGGCATAAGGTCGCCTGCTCATCCAACTGAGCTAAACTGGCACCACCTTCTGAAGGAAGTTGAAGAAAAAAATTGCAAAGAGCCAGTATAAACATAGGGCTTTGCAGATGTCACAGTTGGAGTGTAACAAAATAAGTGTTGACTGTACACACGACTGGACCAGAATTATAGATAATTAAATGTTGCTGGGTTTAACATTTGGTGCATCTATTTATCCCTGTTCTGTCTACTCTGTATGTTAATTTTCCAACTCTGGGAATAATAAAGGCTCTCTGATCTTATCTCATTTTATCTTGCCTCCTTTTTTTTCTCCTGAAATGAAAACATTATGAACTAAAAACTTTCCATGCTCGATCAGTTTATTGCTAATAACAGCTCAGAAAGACAAGAGACGCTGTCTGTTGCAGTTTGAGTGATGTACAGTCAGGTCTGTGATTTGTGGCACTCTGACACAGTTTCACCTCTGTGTACGACCAAAGTGGATGTTAAATTAGTGAAGATGTGAATAAAAGTGTAAACCTTCTGCTTGAGTTCAGGATTTTACCTGACCTGGTGCATTATCTGTGGACTAACCGAATTACAGCCATTGTCAGAAGCTCAAAATTAAATGGACAAGCATTTTCATGGCAAAGTTAGGTATGTTCTTGGGCCAGTAACAATAAGAAGTCTCACAATTTATCTTTATCGTTCATGTGGTTGGATGTGGAGTTGGAGTCACATTAGGTGGCTCTAGAGGATTTACAACAAGGTGCAAACCAGTGGTTACACTCGAGACCAGGAAGGTCAGATTAGACTTTACCAGAAAACATCAATCAAAGACGGCAGTTCATATAAGACAGTAGTGAATGTTTTATATTTCATATCTTGTCAGAGTCGGATTCACAGTGACTTTCCTGTTACTGCACTACAGTGTTTACTCTCTGAAAACTGGAAAATCTCACATTTGCTGATTGTCATTAGAGCACAACACTAAAGTGTGACAAAATACTCATCATAGAGTACCAAAATTTTGCAGAACATGAGAAAAATAATAAGATCGAGAGAAAAAGTGATCATTTCTTTTTCTCATCAATAATTTTACTTTGTATCTGCTGGGATGCACGCAATCTCAACTCTTGCGCGCGGACATCAGCTGACAACGCGAGCTCGGTTCGGCTGCTCTCGGCTGTTTCCGGACACTGACCTGCCGCGCGCAGCCGGACTTCGGGCTTGAGCACGGCATCGAGCAGCCTCCTCTGGCGGCAGATCTCCCGCTCTGAGCGCTCCACTCTGTCCTGGTACTCCGCCACGGTCTCCTCCAACAGTGCGACGATCTCCTCCGCGGCCGCCGTCAGCCGCTCGGTCAGCAGCGCTCTCAGCGCCGGGAGCTCGGCTGCTTCTTCTCCCTTCTCCAGCCGCAGCAGGAAGTCTTCGGCGGCGGCGCTGATCCGCTCGTGGACCGACACCCGCAGCAGCTGCACGGCGCACATTCTGCGGCTTCTCCCCACCGGGAGCCTCCGGGACAAAGAGAGCCAGTGGAAAGGTAAACACGCTGCGAGTTCCGCGTCGAGGAGCGCGGTGCGGAGAGAGCGAACAGCGCCCCTGCTGAAGCGGAGGCTGTCGGAGTCAGAGGAGAGTTGTGAGCGTGCGCCGGCGTCTCCTTGCTACTTTCTGGTTGTGCGGGACATTTTTAGCCAGAAGTAAACCGCCTGTGAGTCAGCAGATCAACTGATCAGAAAGCCATGAGAAAAAGGTTGCGCATTTAATGATGAGCAGGTGAGGCTGAGGAGCATCACATGTGGTAGAATTTATTTATTTTTAAACTACCTCATAATTTTGATCACATGTTTAGGTATTGTAGAATAGAGCATTGAAAGTAGACTGGTACACTCTGATACTAACAGACACAAACAAACAGAAGACACCGCCCCACGGATTGTGTACGGGTTGTGATAGGATGCTGTTCTATATGGCACAGCAAAGCACAGAAACTATAAGATATAAATTCTGGCAGAGCTCTCCCTCTCCTCATCTTTCTTGCTCTCTACAGGCCTGGCCAGAGAACAAGAGACAGTTGCCATGGTGAAGTGGGGAGAGTTTTCTTCCTATCACAGGGAGAAGCTCGCTGCATAAAGTGCAAGATGACCTAAGGGATGGACCCACACCAGGGGGACCAAGTTTAAACTGCAGTCTTCACCCAAACTCTCAACCAGTGATATGAATATTCTCTTTCTGTGTCTCCTAACAAAAGTGTGTTCTGCTTGGGTTCGGAGCGCTTTGTCTGTTTTGGCATATGGACCAGAGGAAGAGGCATGGCACAGTTAGTTACCTGAAATTTAAACTGCTTAATAATAAATTTTGAAAAATTATACTTCGATTATATACTTTGACTTTATACTGATTGTCATTTTTGTTTGTTGAATAATTGCAACTTTATTAATAAAGTTTAAAGAAATAGGAATCTGGTTCAGATTGAGTCCACAGTAATCCATAGTCCTCATGTGGTCCAGCAGCTGCCTTGTTGGCTCCGTTATGAGCAGCAGCCAGATGGAGCAAGATTCTGTCCTCCTAGTTTACTGTCAGAGGACTAGGTCATCACTGAGCTGCTGTTTGTCACTCACCTTGGACTTACCTGACACAGGTGCCGCTGTTAGCTAGAGCTCATTGGATGCAGTCAGGTTGTTAATAAAGTTTGTCAGTAATATAAATTCTTGTTATTTTTAGTTTTCTTTTCTCCTTTTTCTAGTCCTGCAGCAAGTCTTTTGATGAATCACCTGTTTTCTTCTCTGGTGAGACATGACAATCCCTATAAATAAGACAAGTACCCCATTTAAAAAAAAAAGCAAGATCTTAATCAAATGAAAGGATAATTATTCATAAAGACACTGGTGACACACACAGTAGCTCCAAATTTCCTGAACATCTCTACACGACAAGCAGCAGGTGAAGTGAGGACCCGGTCATGGACTAGCAGTTTCTAATAACTTACTGTGCGTTTATGGTGACTGAGCATGGGAACGTATCTTTATCCTGTATAAAACTGCTGATCTTGTCAGTTGCTTGCTGTATAAGCTTCCATTTGGCCTTAAAGTGACCAAGCTATTTAAATTACAGACAGAAATTTCATTTTATTTCATTCCTGCTGCTGGTATCCTCAACCCACGTAGTCATATCTGAGGATAAAACTCACTTCTGTCTACACCACATCCCTGCAGACCTTTCTCCAATCCACCTGTCAGATTCCCACTCCACTCTCTCCAAGGTGGGGCTTCAGGGGGTACATCCATGGGCTGATATGACTCTTTCAAGCTCATTATGATGCTAATGCATCCTTGTATGAAACTGCAAAATAGCACAAAAAAAAAAAATCACAAGACTCAGTGCCTCCCACTGGCTTCATCCTAGGGAGAAGCAGTTTGTCAGCTTGTGTTGTTGGTTCAGTTTCTTCTTTCTTTTGGGTAGTTTCCATCATATTCATACCAATTCTTTGTAGCGACTTACAAGACATTCTAGCCTCTAAGTTAGCATGAGGAAAGCATTGCCATGTCCAAACCTGTGAGATACAAAAAAAATGAAAATGCAGGAAAATCAAAATGTGGAACACTGGCTGAATGTGTGGGATGTAGAAAGGGACACCTGGTCTGAATCCAGTCACTGGGCTACAAACATTTTATAAATAGCAGCGAGTTTGCCCAATGCCTGCCTGCCTGTTCAAACCTCTGGACTTCACAACACACTCTGAAGCTGCTCAGCTCAGCTAGCTACAGTTCACTGCAAAATAACACAATCTGCTGATTATGTTCACGAACATGCACATATTTCCCACAACCTTCGATTATATTCACTCCACCAATGGAATAATTCCTGTAAAAATCTAAAAATAAATAGTTACAGAAGCAGATTCAAATTAATGGTAGGAAATATTTGTATGAATAAAAAGGTCACAACAGTACATGAATACATACTTGTAATAATCGTGTTAGGGCTGCCACAACGATTATTTTGATAGTCGACTAGTCACCGATTATTTTTGCGATTAGTCGACTAATCAGATTATGTATCCATTGGACGTAAAACGTACAGCTGATTGCACCAGCAGCATCTGCTCTTATATAACTATCATTAGCTTACAGCTTTAAGTGTTTAAGGTATGTGCTAACTAAAAATAAAGACAAGATGATAGTTTATTAAATTTTAATGACATTTGCTGATTGTTTCGGTGGAGTTTGATAAACTCAGCCGTGTGCTCCTTGCTATCTAAAATATAACAGCACACCGGAGTATATTCTCGAGCGTCTCACACTTCTGATAATCAGTTGTCTGCTTGACGTTTATTCAGCTGTGTAAAAACTATAATTTTAATCTCAGCCAAACCGATTTACTCAGGAACAAATAAAACACTGAAAAAAGCCAAACAATAACATTTTTAAGTTATCTAAATGACTATGTATCATGTTTAACCTGAGTAGCGAAAGACAGCAGTGGGTTTGAAAACGATTTCCCCACCGGCTCTAGTGAGCCTTGAACCCCAGCTAGCTATCGAGCTGGTGGGTAACAGACGTCTCCGAAAACCTCGGAGCTCTTTTGAAAATATCTGGTGTTTTGATAAACTGAGCAGATATTTGAGGTTTACACAGCTACATTCTCGCCTGAAAATATGTTAAACGTTTATTTTGTGACCCAGAAAGAATAATAAGAGTAATATTAAAACTAACTAGCTGCCGCCATTGTTGGAAACTGAGCAGGGCCACGCTAAGAATTCTGGGATAGGTAGGGCCACGAAGTATACACCCGACCGACCCATCCTTCAAATCTGGGGAAACGAAGGGCGCATTTGTCGGCCGCATTTGTCGGAGTCTTCAAACTTGGACAGTCTTCGTCATGTCGCTGTAACGTAATCGGCCTACAAATGCAGGCACAGGAGGATGCGGTTCCTGAATTTGGACACAGCTACGATACTGGACACTGCTTCTTCTTCTTCGGGGTTTAACGGCAGCTGGCATCCTTGTACATGCAGTGCTGCCATCTTCTGTTTCAGTCCGTTATTACACGCTTAAATCCTACTACTTATTCCTGTGTCTTTTGGGATCTTACAAAGCTTCAAACGACGTGTCGACTATTAAATTAGTCGTCGACAATTTTGATAGTCGACGTAATCGTGACTAGTCAACTAATCGTGGCAGCCCTAATTTATGTACTGTATTCACTTGAAACTTAAACACAACCTAAAATCCAAAATAGACTTTTTTTTATTTCATTTTTAAGATTTGTAGCTGTGGACGATCAACCTGTTTACCAGCATCCTTATATGTTTAATATGTTGCTCCATAAACACCAAGAAATAATATGAGAAAAACTCAGTTGTTAAAAACACTGAAAACTAGAAACTATTTCTATCTGTGGAGCTCCCAGAATACGTCATTTGTAAAAATTACCGATTGTTAACTAATTTCTTAATGCATGTTTCAAAGTTTTAGCTCGAAGGTTTTGAGCCTCCACCCTTGCTGTTCCTAGACTATCAGAAAGTGCCGCCCCCTGAAGGATACTTCTTTTAGGCGGGCTGTCTCTTGTGAAGCTTCCTTGTCCTGAGTTTTACACATTTCATTCAGCTGATTTAAAAGTGATAGACTGGAATCTTGACTGTTGTAGTTTTAATTTAAAAAAAACTCAAATATTTCTGCATAAAAGCAGCCACACTGTCTGGCAGGAAGCTCAGATCTTTATGGTAATTTCAATTCTGTCCAGCTGACACTCTGTCTATATCATCTCTGAAGATATGGGAACATAAATATACTTCAATATGTTCATGAAGCAACAGCTTCTCAAACTGAGGACTTAACAGGAGCTGTGTCTGCAGCTCACAGCTGGATGAAGTCAGGCTGAACTTCCTGTCTTTGACAGTCTTTGACAGGCTGCTCTCCCCTGTGGACCTTCATGTGTGACTCCACTGAGCGTTTCTCCTGGTACCTCTTCCCACACTCCTGGCAGCTGTAGGGTTTTTCCCCTGTGTGAGTTAGCATGTGTCTCTTCAGGTCGATCTTCTGTACGAAGCCCTTATTGCAGAGCTGGCAGCTGTAGGGTTTCTCCTTCTTGTGGAACCTCTCGTGTGTCTCGAGTGAGATTTTCTGGCGAAACCTCTTCCCACAGAGGCTACAGATAAATGGCTTCTCACCCGTGTGGATCCTCATGTGAGAGTCCAGGTTTCCGATCTGCCTGAAGTTCTTCCCGCACACCCTACAGGTGTATGGCTTCTCCCCAGTGTGGATCCTCTTGTGAACATCCAGGTGTTGGCTCATGGTGAACTTCTTGCCGCAGACCTCACAGGAGTATATTCGTGGTTTCCCTCCCATGTGGCTCTTGATGTGCCTCTTTAGGACTGTGTTTTCTATGAAAGTCTTCCCACAGAACTCGCAGATGAACGGCCGCTCACCAGCATGCAGCTTCATGTGCCTCTCCAGCGATCCCTTTCTGGGGAAGTCCTTCCCACAGTCTTTGCACCTGAATGGTTTCTGGCCCGTGTGTGTCCTCATGTGGATCTCCATGTCTCTGAAGCTTATGCCACAAATGTCGCAGATCCGGCTTGTTTCTCTGTGACTCTGGATGTGCAGCTGCAAACTCTCAGAGGACTCTGCACGCTCTCCACAGATGCCACAGAGACAATCAGGGTGGTTTAGATGTGTCTCTGCATGCCTCACAAAGTTTCCTTTGTTGTGAAACGCATTGCTGCAGACCTTGCAGCAGTGAGAAGGGGTCAGGCTGGGTTTTCTGTGCCGGCTACTGATGGTCGTTTGCTCATCTGATCCATGGCACCGGATATGTCGCCTCAGCTCAGCACTCTTTGCAAATTCTTTTCCGCAAAAGCTGCAGCTGAGCGGTGTCTGTCCGTCGTGAGCTTTCATGTGTCGTTCAAGCGAGCTGCCTTGACTGAACTCTTTGTGGCAGATGTTGCAGGTGAATGGCTTCTCTGCCGTGTGGATTCTCATGTGGGTTACCATGTTGCCCTTCTGATTGAAGCCTTTCCCACAGACAACGCAGCTAAAAGGTTTCTCTCCAGTGTGCATCCTCATGTGCATCTCCTGAGCTCGGATTGAGGGAAACTTCTTGCCGCAGACATCACATGTCTTGGTGCTGTCACGGTGCATCTGGAGATGCAGCATTAGGCCATCACTGGACTCAAAACGCTCACCACACAGACCACACAGACAGTCGGCCTCTTTCAAGTGCTTCTCCACATGCTTCATCAGAAAGCCTTTCCTGTCAAAGGACTTCCCACACACTCTGCAAAGGTGAGACACCAACTGCTTGTCGTTCTCACATTGTTCTTCGTCTCCTGTTGGATCATCTGGAGAGGCCAGCTGGCGATCCAGTTCAGAGATGGTCTGTGGTCTGGAGGATGTGCCAGGCAGAGTCTCCTTCAGTTGGTTGTCTATCGAGTTGCTTGGCTTCAGACGTTTCTTGTCAGAGAGACTCGTGACGCCAACTGACAAACACAACTCTGGAGAGAAAATACATGACATGTGATTATTTAAATCATGTGACTCTATCACTTTTTTTTTTAAAGGTTTATGTGTTACCTAAACACTAGCCCCGCCCATACTTTCCCTCTGATGCCCTTTCTGCATGGTCCACGCCAGAAGCCTGATTTGTTTTGCACACACTTTTGCTTCTTTTGTTTCCTGTCATTGCTGTAGTTTAAAATTAATCATTTTCTTGCTGTCGTGGGATTAAATTTACTGAACTACTGATACCTGAACTTTGTATATTACATTAACGTTTATATCAGAGTTTGCTTCAGTAATGTTGAGGCGCGGGATTTGGAGAGACCAGTTACTGATAGTGTTCCAGTACATGTTTTTCCATCCAAGTATGTTTTTACTGCATTGGTGGTGTTTTTTGAGATCACTGTCATGCTGAAAATAAAACTCTGCAGTAATGCTTAAACTTCCATCTGTTAATACATTCAGTTGCTTTTTTACCAAAGGAACAATAGTGCAGGAACCACAAGTAAAGCCACACATTAATTTGATAATTTCTATCCTGCAGACAAAGCTTTTACCACCACTCACATTTAATTATTAGTTATTATTAATCTGTGGCTCTCTTCCAGTGGGTCTTTGTCCTGTCTTCCTCACCTCACCCCCCACCAGTCGTAGCAGGTGGCTACCCCTCGATGAGCCTGATCCTGCCACAGGTTTCTTTCTGTTAAAAGGGTGTTTTTCCTTTTCACTGTGGCCAAGTGCTTACTCATGGGGGGGGGGGGGGGGGGGGGGGGGGGGGGTCATCTGATTGAGTCAAAGTCAGCTTTATTGTCAAACACCATATGTACAGTCATACACAGGAATTTAAAACTGAAATGCTCCCATGGCCCTCATTGTGCACTAAAACAATATAGAGATAAAAATAAAATAACAGTCTTATATACAACACAATACAATACAATCTTTTATAAACAACAGTGTCCAACACAATCCAAGTGTTCGTGGGCAAGAGTTTGTGTGCAAGTGGGGTGGAGGAATCAGTGAAAAGGTGGCGATGCTACATGACAGGTTTGCCCTTGCTGTTCTTAGGCTCACCTCATCCCCGGCTCTGAAGGCCACATTACATGTTTCCCCGTATAGGAATTTTCACGTGTTTCTCCAGTTTGGGCAGTCTTTTGGTCTGCATGATTCAAATCGCCCACCAGGATGAGAAAAGCATCTGGGTGGGCCTTCTGCTGCTCACTGACATGCTGATACATTTCATTCAGTGCCTCACTCCAATTGTTGTTAATGGAGCAGGGAGGGATATAAACAGCAACAAACAGTATGGCTGAAAATTCTCTCAGTAGGTAGAATGGTCTGCAATTGATGATCATAGTAGCAGAGGTGAACAGTGTTTGCAAGCCACAACAGGGTCGCAGCACCAGGCATCATCGATGTAAACACAGAGTTCCCCTCCATGAGCCTTACCCCCTACCCCATTCCAAAAGTGCATGAATGGCGCTTTTGGGAATGTTAACATGTGGAAACATGTTAAGCCATGTTTCCACAAACACGAAGACCCAACACTCCCTCATTGACTTCGAAGTGGACCAAAGTAAGCGAGCCTGATCCAGCTTGCTGTCCAGGGGAGTGCACATTGGGACAGTTCAATGGTGGGAATAGCGGGTTTGTGTGGATTAGCCGCTAACCTACTCCGGATGCCTCCGCGCTTACCCCTCTTCTGTTTCCTCTCACACCGCCTGAGACATTTCCACTGTGGGCGAGATCTAGTAGCAAGGGTCGGTGATAAATGCCTCCGAAGCAGTCCGCAGTGCTCTAGTGTAATTTGTAGTTCTTCCGTGTATCGTGAATTTGCTTCTGTTGATTTTGAGCACCGGGAGGAGGCCCCGGGGCAGACCCAGGACACGCTGGAGAGATTATATCTCTCGGCTGGCCTGGGAACGCCTTGGTATTCCCCCGGATAAGCTGGAGGAGGTGGCTGGGGAGAGGGAGGTCTGGGCCTCTTTGCTTAGGCTGCTGCCCCCGCGACCCGGCCCCGGACAAAGCGGATGAAAATGGATGGATGGATGGATGGATGGATGGATGGATGATTTTGAGCATGCACTCACGACTGTACCTTACAACAATATAAAGCACCCTGAGGTGACTGCTGTTGTGATTCAGTTCTTTATAAATACAACTGAATTGAATTGAACTGAATTAAATGTTTTTTAAAGCCCTTACGAATAAGAACTATTTTGCTCTAGAAGTACAGAAAGGACCACATAACATCTCTTTGTCTCGGACCATCTCCAGCATCTTTTTCCATCTTCATGCATCTGGTCTCCTTCTGTCATTGCACAGTTTCTTATGTCTGCTCCTTTATTCCAGCATCATCACATCAACACTGTTTCAGCTCGGTCTGTATTTTAATCCTAAATTTGAAACGAAGTCTCAAGCATTCTTGAGCCTCGTGTTAGTTTAGTACTTACTTATGTGAAACTAATAAACGTGATGTATTTACTGGCTAAACTCCCACACTGACAGGTAATGTTTCCTGATAGCACTGTGTGCAAATACTTCATTAAATCCATGTAGTATTCGGAGTATTTAAATGCAGAAAGGAGATAAAGTTATCATTGAAAATCAGTTTATACATATACATTCAGATCTGTCGTATATAAACAGAAGAATGAGCACTAAAAGATCTGGGGGAGGACCGTGAGCGCGCCAGTAAATGGGACTAATTGAGGCTGCAGTGTGGTGCTGAATGTGGACACTGACCTTTGTGCTCCCCACCGGGATCTTCCGCGCCTCTCTCGGCCGCTCTGCTCGCTTCGAACGCGTTGAGGATGAGCTCGATGGCCGCCGACAGCCGTTCCACCAGCAGCTCCCGTAGCTCCGGCAGCTCGGCTCGGCTGCGTTCATGCAGCAGCCGGAAGATCTCCTGAGCGGCCGCCGCCATCCGCTGCTCGATGGTGGCCTTCAGCCTGCGGCTCTCGGACCGCTTTTTCGACATTTTGCAGCGAACAAAGAGCAGAATGTAAACAGGACGAGACACTTCCGGGATCGCCGGGCAAGCGTCACTGGAGGCGGACGCTCATTTCCTGCGTGAACCGGAATGTGACTCTACAGCTGCTGTTATGCTACCAGCTAAAATCCGACAGAAACGTCCGACAGAGAAATAAGGTGTAAAATTATTCAGGTTTCAGTCTAAAGTGTCCAGCTTTCACTTTTCTTCCAGTGTCGTGTAAACGCCTCAAATGTCAATGCATCACGTGACACGAAATTTGTCAAAAACACCTCAATTTAAAATGTCTTCACTAATTCACAGAGATCTACAGCTTCAATAATAAAGCTTTAGGTAAATTGTCAATTAACAACGTCTCCTGTTAATTTCTGCATGTACCAGAACCATTAACAAGCAGATACTGAGTTTAAATATAGAGGTTAGTGAAGACACCATCCAACTTGTCACATAGTGTTAACGTCTGTCGAACTGACCGTTACTCTTTAATACAATAAAATAAAATAAATCTTTAAAAAAGATTATTAAAGAATCTTTAATAAAATAATTCTGACGTTTCACAGGCACATCATGACCAGATTTCAAAAATCAGAAGAGTCTGGAGCTGGATTTCTAATAATAAAAACTGCAATATCGTATTGGTAGGAAGTATATGGGAACAGAAACCTCTGGACACGTTTTTTATGCTTGGAGAGCTGACCATTATTTGCGAAGGACATTATGGGCTGGTGGAGTGGATATTATGCTACTGTCCTTAGCACTGCTTTTTCGGGTTTACCTCTGACATGAGACAGAAAGCAAGTGATCTGAGAGGTCTGGATTTCTTATAATGTTCCCAATGATGCTGCATGATGCTCACACTATATGAATGTTAAAACTGCACCTTCATTCAAAGCAGTGTTGGGGGGGGGGGGGGTATTTAATTTTATTTAGGGCAGCTAATGAGACAGATTTCAGGTCTAAAAGCTTCAGATGGGAGTATAAACGTCATAGCTGTGCAGATGTCCCATCTGAAAAAGAAGAAGGATGTGCCAGACCAGTGGCTGGTCAGAGGATCCCTGGGACTTGATTCAATGCCTTCAAAGTGCCTTTTAAACAGTCTGTGACCTGGAGAGTCAGGACCTTCATGACTAGGTACTACAAACTGATCGACATCCTGCAGTCCTACTTTTACATCAAGATCTTCATCAAAGACCGCCATGTTCCCTCTGATGCCTCCATCCTGAGCTTCAAATGGGAAGCGAGGCACTTCCTGAATGAGAGCCAGGACAATGACAAGCTGATTTAAGTCCACTGCACCTATGGCGTGAACCACATTGGGTACCTGGTCTGTAGGTACCTAATTGACGTGGATGGGCTGGATCCACCAGCAGAGCTGGAGCTCTTTAACTCCTCCGGCAGAGGTCATTGCTTCAAGAGGCAGAACTGCCTGAATGACCTGCAGAGCTCCACCAAGAGGAGCAAATAAGGCATGGAGGACCCTAAAGAGTTCAAAAGCAGTGGGCTCCAACAGGTGTCTGCTCACCTTTCAGTTATTTATGATGATGAGTGAATGAACAGCGTTCCTCCGAGGTCCTGCTGAAAATCTCCAGTCGCGAATCTTATCCAATTCTTTCTCTTTTCCCAGCCTGCCTCAAGCAGCAAAATAATTCATGCTCTCGAGTTAGAAAGCCACAGTCTGCAGTAGTTTGCTGTAACCAACTTTTGGAAGAGAGATGCCCCTAACTTAGAGGTACACATATTTATAAAAGAGATGTGCTTCTACCCGATTGGTCAAAAACCATTGAGAAGGGCCGTGGTTTAGATTTTAGACCCCCTTAATGGCTCTCTTCTTCTCCTCCATCAAGTGCAGCTTCACCTAGGGATGGACACCCCCCCACACACACACACACACAGTCCTGCCTTCCCTAACCTGTTACACAGTTTCATGACCCTAAGCCAGCATCTATCTGTGAGAGCTTGTTTCTTGACCTTGCTCTAGTTCACTCCCGCATTCCTGCACACAGCTTTTTTTTCTCCTTTTTTTTTGTCAAAAGTATAATCCATCCATCCATCCATCCATCCATCCATCCATCCATCTTCATCCGCTTATCCGAGGTCGGGTCGCGGGGGTAGCAGCCTAAGCAAAGAGGTCCAGACCTCCCTCTCCCCAGCCACCTCCTCCAGCTTGTCCGGGGGAATACCAAGGCGTTCCCAGGCCAGCCGAGAGATATAATCTCTCCAGCGTGTCCTGGGTCTGCCCCGGGGCCTCCTCCCGGTGGGACATGCCTGGAACACCTCGCCCAGGAGGCGCCCAGGGGGCATCCTTGCCAGATGCCCGAACCACCTCAGCTGGCTCCTTTCGATGTGGAGGAGCAGCTGCTCTACTCTAAGCCCCTCCCGGATGGCCGAACTTCTCACCCTATCTCTAAGGGAGAGGCCAGCCACCCTTCGGAGGAAGCTCATTTCCGCCGCTTGTATCCGCGATCTCGTTCTTTCGGTCACTACCCACAGCTCGTGGCCATAGGTGAGGGTAGGGACGTAGATCGACCGGTAAATTGAGAGCTTCGCTTTTACACTCAGCTCCCTAATATAATCATGGTTTTTATTTATCAAAGTTGATTCATCCCGATCACTTTCAGCTTTGTCTTTTAATTTTTGGACTCTCTAGAGGAGCTTTAAAAGGAGGCTCTCATCTGAAACAAGAATTTTCTTCTTTGCTGCCCCTCTCAAAGGCTTGTGTTTATTATCCATTTTACATCCTCTGATCCAAGAGTAGGAGAAACTGTGGTAAACTAAACTGTTCAGGGCAGACTGAAAATTTGGCTCACACACTGACCTCGTTATTGGGACTGTGCTCATGTTTGATATCAACATCCCTTATTTGCCCTCACCCAGAGGTGGGTAATGGCAAGTAAGGAGAACCAGAACTGGTCCACTTTAATACGTCTATCATCAAGGTCATGTGATGTGACCAAAAGCTCCAGAACAGCAGCAGTTTTTTGACTACTGAAAACAAACCCTTGCTGACTTTCTGACACCTACAGGAGAAACTAATGCACAATGATCAAAAGCAGCATGAATAAAATAGAGTTCAGCTTAACAAAATGGAAAACATCAAAAAAAATCCCTACCCCTTACTGGAGTTAAAGCCATCACAGCCATTTTTAATCTATCTGGTGAAAATAATGATATAGTATTCCTCCAACACTGTTTTTTCTAGTCACAGAATTTACGATTACCTTTGACAGTAAATGTTTTGTAACTGGTAGTCTGGGATTTTATTACTCTTCCTGTTAAAAGAAAAATTGTACTTTGAGAAAAGAGAAGGTGTGGAAACTATCAAAGTTCAAACCAGATCTGTCCCTTCCTTTATTACCTCCAAATGAAAGAAGTTTAAATTTAAGCCAACAATATTTATCTGTGTGCTGATTTTTTGACGTTGAAGCTGAACAGTTAAGTCTGCACTTTTAACGAAGGGCTTCTTTACATACTTCAGGGCTTGTTAGAGGCTTAGAGAGCCTTATTGTCATTTATTGTCATTGTGCAGTTTCTTGCACAGCGAAATTGGGTAGCTGAACCACAAAGGTGCTAAAGTAAGAAGAAGAGAAACCAATATACAACGAAGGCGGAAAATAAATAAATAATTAAATAAATAGAATAAAATAAAAAACAGTGTATATGTATACATATGTGAGTGGAACTATATACATGGTGTATGTGTAGGAAACATTGAAACAGACTGGGACCAAAATAATTGCACATGAGCCAAAAATATTGCACAGAACATAGAAAGACTGAGATATTGCACATAGATGATCAGCAGCAGTGTCAGGGTGGATGTGTTGGGGAAGTCTTTACACACATTAAGAGTTCTGACAGCCCACAGGAAGAAGCTGTTCTTTAGTCTGTTGGTTTTGCACCTGATGGTTCTGAGCCTTTTTCCAGAGGGCAGGATGTTGAAGAGGTGGTGGTTAGGATGGAGGTGGTCCTTTATAATTGCCCTGGCTCTGGAGAGACATCTTGAGCTGGCAATTAAGTCCAGGGAGGGGAGCGGACAGCTGATCACCTTCTCTGCAGTTCTGATGACCCTCTGTAGTCTCTTCTTGTCAACTGTTGTGCAACCAGCGTACCACACAGGGATGGCGTGCACCAGCACACTCTCGGTAGTGGCACGGTAGAAGGACTCTAGGAGTTCAGTCTGCAGCCTGTTCAATCTCAGAACCCTCAAGAAATGGAGGCGCTGCTGGGCTTTCTTTACTAGGGCTGATGTGTTTGTGGACCAGGATAGGTCCTCGGATATGTGGGTGCCGAGGAACTTAGAGGACACCCTCTCCACATTGTTCAGGGCCCTATTTCAGGAAGCCGGTTTAGTGCAAACTCTGAGTAAGTATACCCTGAGTTAACGAAAACTCTGGGTTTTCGGTTTCACAAAGCGAGTTCAGATGAAGCCTGAGTGAGTTACTATGACGACACACTCCGTGAAGCTAACCTGCCCCCTAGCAGGTTTACTACAACTAACCCTGACTGTCTCCGCCTCTTTGTCGGAAACCTGACAGTAGGAAGTGTCGGACATGGCGTGCCCCTACCTCGAAGAGCCAGTAGATCTTGAAGCCCAAATTCTCCGCACAGCTCTCCGCCGGGAGAGAGTGATCAGAGCGCGTTTGGACATTTTATCATTCCCTGATGATTTTCTGTGCGAACGTTACCGTTTCTCAGCACAATCTATAATTTATTTGAATAACATCTTCAGGCCATATATTGCGCATGTGACACATCGCGGACATGCGCTCAGTCCATTACATATTCTTTGTACTGCACTCCGTTTCTTTGCAAACGGGAGCTTTCTGTACAATATTGGTGACGCTGAGCACGTTTCCAAGGCTACCGTCTGTCGGGCAGTCAGGAATGTTACAGTTGCACTGAAACGTCTCCTGTACTCGTTTGTGGTGTTCCCCGGTCATAGACCCACAAGATTTATCAAATGCCACAAAATTGCAGGTATCAGGATGACCAAAACTTAATTCATGATGTGGTGATACTTGGACTACTACTTAAATGGTACATTAATTTCCAGGGTTCCCAGGCGTGATTGGCTGTATAGATGGCACTCACATTCCAATCATTGCTCCTTCAGTAAATGAAGGAGACTATGTGAACAGGAAGTCTTTCCACAGCATCAATGTACAGGTACATAGTTCCCTGTAGCATTTCACACTAACAAGTGATGGCATCATAGTAATGGATGCTAATTTGTGTTCTTTTGCACTGTGTAGATCATATGTGATGCTGCCAACATCATCACAAATGTGGAAGCCAAGTGGCCAGGCTCTGTACATGACTCACGAATCTTCCGGGAATGTACACTGAGCACCAAATTTGGACATGGTTGGTCGAAGTTACTGTGAAATATACAGAGACCAATTGCCACAGGGACGTTTGCACTGACATGTATTCTTCTGTCCTAGGAGAGTTCACTGGCCACTTGCTTGGTGATAGGGGTTACCCATGTTTATCCTTTTTGCTCACCCCTTACCCTGACCCTGAATCGGGCCCACAGCAGCGTTATAATCTGGCCCATTGCAGGACACGGGCCAGAGTTGAAATGACCATTGGAATGCTCAAGGCCCGGTTCCAGTGCCTGCAAAGACTCCGGGTCGCCCCAGAAAGGGCATGTGACATTATTGTGGCATGTGTGATTCTTCACAACATTGCCACGATTAGAGGTGAACACTGTCCAGCTGAACCAGACATCAGCAGTGATCCACACGATGAACATCCTGACCCACCCACGAACGTACAGGATGGAAGAGCAGTCAGAGACACCATATGCCACAACCATTTCCTGTGACCCGTCACCTCAACATGTTACAAGACAAATACACAGATTCTGTGGTCAACTGGCTTTATTGGTCGCCCTGTATGTCCTATACACAAAGTATAAATGCGTATATTAGTATGTTGTACAAACACTGACATGATCCGTCCATCTCTGATCACTCCACCCACCCTTAACTGTTGTTCCAGCAGTACAATCTCCAACTTGGACTTCTGGATCTGCAGCTTGAGGTGTACCATTTCCATGTCGCACTTCTGTATTTTCCTGACCAGATATGTCTTGTACAGCTGCTTCACAGGGAGCTATTGCAACACAGGACATAGCATTGGCATCCATAGTACATGCCTACTTAGGTTGGTTGTAAATCAGTGCTGAACATCCTACTGTGGACAGGTTTGTTGTAGGAGTGGCTGGACCCTCTTCCTCTTCATTTCCAGCATCACTCTGCCAGGGACATAGTAAGTCCATGGTGTCATCATAGTACCACATTGTAGTCAGTTGTTATATTTTCCACTGTACGCTGTAAACCTCATGGTGTGTCTCTGTTGCGTCCTCCTCTGTAACAGCTGTCACTGTTTCGTCATCATGTGCCTGTGGTGGAGACATTTAACAACATTGCTGTTCTACTGTTGACACATGTAGTCTGTGGAGTATTACTCACAACTGCATGTTGGTCTGGCTCAACAGGGGGCTGCACCAGATGCAGTACACCATCACCATCAACTGGAAGAATATGGGGTTCATACAGGTCACTCATGACTTATGTGGGCGCAACTGGCAATTACCAGACATACCAATCACCATACACCTCATTGTCAGTATGCTCTCAGAGACAACCGACACTGAGGGAAGGCACAATCAGTAGGTGTTAGGGTGGAAACGCTTTTATGAGTTTTATGTTGCATTACAGTATATGTTCATATGTTACTCTTAATAGGAAAAGAACAAAATGTACTACTCGCTCAGGAAGTTCACCCTGTGAGAGATTAACACACACACACACACGCAAAATTAAAGGACACTGCTATGCTATAAATAAAGACGAACTACTGCAGCTCGGTGTGAGTGAGTGTCTCCCTGAGCCCTCACCCGTGCAGCACGTTAACAGTCTCCAAGTGTCTCAGTGTTGTTTATTCACCTGACTGTTTGATAACTGTAAATCTCTGACAGTAGGACAATGACTTCACTACGACATAGTTCATTTTGGTCAAGGTGACTGTGAAGAATGGATGTATACACATCATGTATTGTTTTGGATTTACCTCTTATGTAGGCACTTGTGCCCTGTGGGGTTATTGCCACAGAGGATGTCCCCGCAGAGATGCCTTCAGCCACAGGGCGCCCACTGTTTTGGCTGAGGGCCAACTGCTCAGCCTCTGTGAGTGGTGGTGGTGGAGGACCCCCACCTGTTTTTCGGGCCTCCGCTTTTTTTCTGTTGGCTGTGACGGCACACATTTGAGCATACAGAGTAAGCAAATGTGTACTTGTAATGTGCTCAGATAATTTCAATGAGTGCTTACAGGCGGTAAGTTAATGTAGCCTCTAACTGCAATTGATTTACATGGGACAAACAGACCAAGCACTATGGCTCATAATACAATTACACCTTACCTGTTTGGACTATGTTTTTATATTTCATTTTTACTTGCTGCCAGGAACGTTTGGGGCCTGTTGGGTTGCACCTGCGCTCACATCACATCACAAAATAACATGTATGACATAAAAAATGGAATAACATATACTAAGATAACGTGTTAAATGGGTGGAGATCCCTAGATCAATGTTTAAATTAACACTCACGCATTGACTCTGTCGGCTATGTTTTGCCATGCATGCTCCCTTTCTTTTGCAGCTGCGGCTGTGTTACTTTTTTTCTGCAAGATGTGCATGCTGTCGGCATATGCTGCCATCAGGGTTTCGGCCTCAAGCGCTGTGAAATACGTCGACCGCGCCTTCTTTCCCTCCGTCTCCATGGTGACTCGCGTAATCTGTGCTCCACTAATCAGGGCTTTATGTATCCTCGTGCGCGCGCTTAACTTGGGGTTAAAGCAACTCCGCATTGATTGAACTAATTGTTATCAGCCTTTCTGAAACCGAATATTCCGAGTTGGACAGTTCGGGGTTACTCAACCCTGCGTATCGTTTTTCACTCTGAGTTTTCTAAACCGGCTTCCTGAAATAGGGCCCAGGTGTTTGTTCTATGTTTGCAGAAATATCAAAGAGACCACCTATAACAACATTTTGGAAGGAAAGCACCATGTCGGTCTTTAAGCCTAGATCTTTGCAGACTCTGGTTCTAACCAGATTTAAAGGAATTTGTTAGAATATGATATGGATGTTTGGGTTTTCATACTGAACAAATCAGGACATTTTGATTATTGTTCAATTCTGGTTGTTGAATTAGAGGAAAAAGAAATGTTTATTTTTTTTTCATAAGTACCAGCAGTCCATTTGGAATGAGCCCCAGTAATGTCATTCAGATTCAATTTAGACACTTTTTGGTGGGTTTTTGTAATTTATCATTATCCTTTGCTGCTTGGATCATTTCATGTACACATTCGCCAAATAAGGCTTGTGTACTCCAAGACTATTAAATTCCTCCACAGGAAGAGGAAATATTTCTCCCTGCTGAGAATTGTCACAATAAAAGCATAGAACAGTCTTTAGTAATCTTGTTCAGACACACAGGAAACTAAAGTGTAATTCAAACATTTTATTAAAACAGCTTAAAACCAGCAGCAGTTTCAGATCTGCTCCACCTATCAGATGAGTGTGGTTGTATGTGACATCACTTGGGGGTAGTCCTTTGGATTGCAGGACTTAGAGCTTTTAGAGTAGCTGCAGGTCTCTGGAGTGCCTTAATGACCTGCAGACCCAGAGTCCTCATTGGATGCAGGGATGCAGTCCTAGCACACCTGCTAGGACTGGGACCAGGACCAAGGTCTGCTGGGTCAGATACAGTGTGGGGGTCTCCTCTGTTCCGATGAAACAGGGACTCCCGTCGCCGTGTGCAGGGGCTCACAGCCAACACATTGCGGAAACCGTAGGGCGTGGTCACCTTCGGCACGTGACACAGCGACATAGCTGCACGTGTGGTCAGGTCCATGTCTACGTCCGCAGATACTGCAGCGGCATTGTGAGGGTGAATGACTGGCAGGGGTGTGTGGAATTTGGGAGAGGATGCAGGGCTAGGTGGGTTCTCAGGGGGGCGCTCACTATCACCACCATGATGAGAAAGTAGTCTGGTCCGCTCCGGGGACACCGGATAAGGCCGCGGCGTGCAGGGTAGGAGAAAGAAACTCGGGATCTTCTCCGGGGTTAGAACCAGAGTCTGCAAAGATCTAGGCTTAAAGGCCGACATGGTGCTTTCCTTCCAAAATGTTGTTTATAGGTGGTCTCTTTGATATTTCTGCAAACATAACAAACACCTGAACATGATTGTGATTATCACATGTCCTTCCTGAGGCTGTGGGACAGGAAACATTAAACTGGATGCATGCATACATTAAAGTTTCAGCTCTAATGTGCAGCCATCACCTTAGAAACAAATGGCAGCCCTGAACATGCTTAGATAAAATCATTCACAGCAATTCAGGTATTCCATTTTACCACTCTGGGGCATTTCCACTATCTATCTATCTATTTTATTTTGAAGTACAATTTAATCTCTATTTTGCATAACAGTGGTGACATCACATATTAAATGACTGGCTTTTAACACTTCATGGTTTGGGAAAATAACCATTTAATAATTTTCTCCCTTCAAGCTCATCCCATCATCCATTCACACCATTTGAGAAAATTCTAATCCTGTGAGAGGTTTAAAAGTTTCAACCCTATTAAATAAAAACACTATCAATTTTAGAAAAATGCATACTCAGAGCTGCAAACATTAATTTCTTGCAGCAATTTTTAAGTGTTCATTCACATGGACGTCTTGCTGACCTTACATGTTTGGTGTACAAAATATTGATTTATGCATGCAGTGGAAAAAAAGATTCACACTTCATGCAATTCACATGAAGACCAGAAAATAATTTAACATGTTTATCAGCCATATGATCAATTTTATGATACAAAGCAGAAAAGTAGAGCCCAGCTTAACAGAGTTGATAACTGCTTTCACAATACTGTTATTTTCACCTGTGGTTTGGGTTTGTTTAAGCTGCCAGTGCAAAGCAAAGCTGGCTGTGTTAAACTTTGTAGTCACAACCTTCTGATGAACATGTTACTGGGAAAAATCTTAATTCTTGGTCAGAACCAGTTCATCTACAGCAGTTGTGTCCAACTCGAGTCCTTGAGAGCTACTGTTCTGCAGCTTTTAGATGCATCCCTACTCTAACACAGCTGAATCAAATGGTTGGATTACCTCCTCAGCATGTCATCAAGTTTGGCAAAGGCCTGATGCCATTCATTTGATTCAGGTGTGTCAGAACAGGGATTGTCTAAAAGTTGCAGGACAGTAGTTCTCGAGGACTCGAGTTGGACACCCCGATCTACAGCAATTTTGAAGCTGCAGGGACACTGAGAAAAAAAAAAAAAAAGGGCAGATGTCTTGGCAAGCATCTCTCAATCTTTGGAACCACTGAACTGGACCTGACTGGGTTCACTCACCAAGGACTAAGCACACAAAGTTCATGAAAGCAATTAAACTTTGATTACAAATCATGTACATTTCCTAGAGTGACTGAGAAGGTTTTAGAGGCACTGAAGGACTAGAATTTAGTTAGCTTTGTGCACCAAGTGTCTCAAACCGTTTGTGTGATAAGTTAAACCTGTGTGATAAGTTGAGCGTGTGCTCAACTTATCAGGAACAGGAACTATTTAGAGGCTGTACTTCACAAAACGTGGGTGTGGAAGTCCTGCAGTCAAACATTTGAAAGCCTTGTAAACACTAAAGAGGTTTGAAGACTCTATATACACATAATGTAGCTGAAGTCAAAGTTGTCACTTAGCAGAAACAGTCACATCAGAAGATCTCTGTATTACTCTGCCTGTTGCTGCTCACCTCATGGACAATATAACATTCAGGTGGGGGCAGCACGTCCTCACATCCACACCTTCAGGCTTCCAGAACAACCTGATAGTTTGTCTGCACACGCTCAACTTATCACACAGGGTTCACGCTCAGGTGTATTTGAGCAGCAGCCAATGACACCACACACCTGTTAAAGGTGTAGTCCACCTTAATTACAGTGGAATCATCTGATTTACGTGGCTCTCAATTTATTTTATTTCTACTTTGTTTTCTTTTGGATGTCTGATGCTTTTAAAAAGACATTTTATTTTGTATCTTTTCTTTCTCACATTTTAGGAACCTTTACATGTTCATAATCTGTTTTCTCCTTCACTGATCTAAGAATTTGATTTTAGGAACAATCTTTTTCACTTTTTTTGTATCAATGAATCTGTTAATATATCACAGACCGCTGTGACTTTTTGTTGGATTAAGGAGCTTTTTCCAACATTGATCCCATGCTTATGTTTCATTATTTAGGTTTCTTTCTGATAACACAGGATTTATGTTACATGGTAAACAACTGCTTAGTTATCACAAAGAGGGTGGGGCCATGCTGACTTAACCACACTACATTCATATTCTTCAGGTTTCCAGATGAAGACCACCTCCATATTCCTCCTGCTTCATTTCATGTTTTTAAAGACATCTGGACATTTTCACTGACTTTTTTTTTTAATACAGGGTATATCAGAGATTTACAATGTTCATAAGTGCTAAATGTGTCCCCTCCAGACACACAGCGTATGTCAATATGACAGTCAAACTCAGCCCATATGGTGAGCAGGTCTGCAGGTTTTTTGGTAAATAAGAAATCACTTTTTAGCGCAACACCAGGAACCATGTGAAACTCCATAATATGTTCTTTCAAGCTGTATGTGTTTTAATGGTTACCGTGAACAGTTGCAGAATTCAAGTACTTTGAAATCTGATGATTCTTTCTGATACACCCTGTATTTTTTCTTTATTTCAGAGGTCACATAACTTAAAAACTTTGAACACTGGAGAATTCATGAAATGTAATGATCAGCCGACCACACCAGGCTTCATATTAAACCTACTCAGGGCAGTTTGTGATATGATGTTTAATCGTCATAATGTCCTCTCGATTTCCATGTACCTGTGGTCCTCAGGGGAAAAAAGGTCCCCATTTCATTTGAGTGTTTTTTAAAGTATAAAGTATAAATTTTCAATCAATTCAGTGTTACACTTTAGTTTTACTTAAGACCAACACATTAACACAAAATTTACCCTACATTTTACATTTTAGGGCCACCCGACCTTGTTTACATGAAGTATACTCTGTTTTTGAGCGAAAACAAAATGAGACAATAAAGTATTTAAATGTTTATATTATTATGACTATCTGAATAACCAGAGTGTTGTATGTTGATTTTTAGTGAGAATGTTTTTTTTAATCATTTACAAATTTTAAATGGCAGCACATAATCACACCTGTGGTCCTCAGGGGTCAAAAATGTCCCCATCTGGTTTGATTGATACTTAATTAATATAAAGTGGATTTTCCCCCACTTTTAATTAAAACTTAATTCAAACACTTTGACACTATTTCTTTATTCCATATGTCTGATAAAACCTCATTTATACGAAATGTTTCAGGTGTTTTCAGGTAACAAAATAAATAAAATCATCAGTTATTGTGATTATCCTTTCACAACCAAAATTGGTTGCTTTAACAGATGATCACAGACGGGTATATGTCGAAGTTAATTTGGGAAGCTGTTTTTAAACTACTTCAAGTTTTTTACTGGCAGCAAATAATCACATCTGTTGTCCTTTGGGCTCAAAAATGACCTCAACTGGTTTGACTATTTATAAAGCAGTAAGTATAAAATATCATTCATCTCTGTGTTTCAAGGTCTTATTCAACTTTATTCTGACTCATTACATGATATTTTTCTGTTTTGGCATGGTAGGAACACCAGGGCATGGGTCTGAGTGAAGGCAAACTTTCATGAGAACAAAGGCGTGTCCATATTTGACACAAGTGCAGAAGGAAGCTCAGGTTTATTCCTCTGTACTGGTCCCATCATGGACAGCTCTTTTTCTGCAGTTGCAGGCCAAGGGCATATGAAGTAAACAAGGTGTTACTGGTGATTGTTTTCTTTTGGAAACCTTCTGCAATGTTAGGGACAACTCGCGGCCAGACGGTTTGCCATCATACACTCCATGTACAGCTGTACCTGGCATCACATACTGCCCATGTTTTTATCTTATTCAATCTCTGTGTGCTCTAGTCTGGAGTTATTACCAAGGTGTCCTTGGGCAAGTTACTGAACCCCAACTTGGTCTCTGATGCATCCATTGGCATTTGAAAATTAAAAAGCATAATACAAGCAGAATACATTGTATATAATGCTTTCAGTACTCGAGTAGAAAAGCCACTGAAGGAGTATGGGACCTGGCACATGTGCTTGGACTGTGGTAGATTGTCTTTCTCTTTGACGCACGAGAGAGTCATGCATCGTCTGTCACTGGGAAGGATAGAAGACCAGATCAGTGTTTCCTCACATTACTGCAAATATTCCTGTCTCAGCTGACTCCTCTTTCTTGCTTGATCTTCATCATAATTGAAATGGATGATGTGTAGTCCTCTGACACATCTTCTATTTCAGTTTCACATTCTGAAAATTCAAGAAACTTCAAGAAGCCCAGTCACTTTCTTTCCAAGCTCCTTAGACTACCATGTCCTGGATTGATGAGAACCTACTTGAACATAGTTCAGATTCTTCATCACTTCCTTCACTTCATAGCCTTCTTCCACTTCTGCAGGAGGGTGATGTGCTTTTTCAGAGAAAGGGTAGCATGTAATCTAAATATTGGCAATATTTTCTTTATCTTCTAACCCTGGATCTTCCTGAAAGTTGATTCGTCCTTCTCATTATACTAGAGGACAATATATGCTTTGCTCTACTGGTCATTCCTTTCCTCAACATGGTAAAAAAAAAAAAAAAAGTATGCTCACAAGCCTCCAGTGCAATGGAGGCTTGTGAGCATACTTTGTGTATGTATTATTGTAGGGTCTACCTTACAATATGAAGCACCTTGATGCATCTGTTGTTGTGATTTGGCGCTGTAAAAATACAATTGAATTGAATGTAGAGCACCTGCCTCCTCATTGGGCTGCCTGTTGTTGTTGTTGTGGTTATGACCTTTAAGCAAGACCATTGACCCCACACATCAGTGATTCAAGATCAAAGATGTTTGAAAGCAGTATGGTGTGAAAATACGGCTCTTTGCAACACTTTGTACTTTGGGCACATTTTCATCCCCGAGGACAATAAAAACCTCATAAATAAAACAAATTACTTAAAACTTATTCCAATCATGCATAGCATAGTACTGAATAACTGTTATTTTCAGACCATTTGATGAATAAAAAACACATTTTTGATAGCAAAAGATTTCTGCAGAGGACAAAAATGTCCCAAGGACAACACATGGGTTAATTCTGAAACTGTCCTGCTATTGGCTCAGTCCAGCTATAACAGAAATGCAATGACATCACTGCTCCTCACTGGCTGCTCCGTGCTCTCACCGTTTTATTACCCAGCTTTAAGTCAGTTCACTTCTGAGCTGCTTCGTCTGTTCTGTTTTTTACCCTCCTGCATCTGATGAACGCCACGAAAAGGTGTTAAAAGGACCTTTGCGGCACACCCCATTCCCCTCCACCCTCTCCACCCCCATCAAACTCCCAATAACAGACAGCTGAGTCTGAAACCAACCATCAGTTTTTATACAAAGAACTCATTGACATGATGGAGCTTTTACTGCAGGGAGCCAAACAGGAAGGAGGCGCTAAAAACAGCAAGAAGTGAGGATTTTCCAAAAAAAAAGTACAACCCATCCCCCCAAAAAAGGAACAAAAATCATCATCATCATGTCTGCTGTTAAAATCAGTCTGAGTTCCTCCTTCCCCCAGTGCATTGTGGGAGATCAGCCACACACAGTGACCTTCGACTGCTGGTCTCCATGGAAACAGCACATTAAAAGTCAGTTCATCACATGGAGTTAAAGTTGGCAGCATCTCAGAGCTCCACCTCCCAGCAGCAGTCAGTGCATGTCATCAGGAAGAGACATGGTCTCTCCCAGTACATGGAGCAGCTGGCATGTGATCTTGTTTGGAGGTTCCTTCAGTCACTGTCAGAGCCAACAGCTGATGATCCTTTCCGTTTCCTCTTTGGAGCTTTGGGCTTTGAGTCCTCCTCCTCCTGCAACAACATAACAAGATCAGAAACAGACCTGAACCAAAACAAGACTTGAACGTGTATAGAGGGGGTACATACAGAGCCGCTGCTGGATGCACTTTCTTCCTCATTGTTGGTGGGTGGAGCGACTCCCTTCCTGGAACGAGGTGACGAGGCTGGAGCTTTACGGCGCGACTTTGGCGGCTTCGTCTGAGAGTCCTCGTATTCCTCCGCCAGGGCGAACAGATCGCTGAACCTGACAGGGAAGATGAGATGTAAACAGCAGTGTTGTGATGTAATCGTTTGTGTGTGTCTGTGGGAGTAAATGTACCTCATCTTGTGGGCCTCATCACAGCTTGCTTGGACGTGCTGCAGAGCCTGAAGTATCGGAGTCTGAGTGAAGACTGACAGAGACATACAGACATTAGCACATTCAGGTCATCAGTAATTGGTTGACAATCGAGAACTGTGTGTGAGGGTACTGACAGTTGTTCTTGGTGTTGCTCAGACTCAGTCTGAGGTTGTCCATGTGCTCCAAGATCTGTTCCAGGGTCAGCTGAGCCAGTTTACTGCTCGAACTGCGCAGACTGAAGACAGAATAACGTTAACAGAACTGACACTACAGACAAAGAAATGAACCTGAGAAGTACAGATGAACAGAGGAGGGGCATGTCCCAGTTCAGGAGCTACATCCTTTAAAGGCTGCATCTGAAGGCGTACAAGGCTGCCCCAATTCAAAGGTTTCAACAAATGTGTTCTCCTTTTACCTGAATTTGAAAACAAGTGGGGGGGGGGTGCGCGGTATGAAAAGGGAAGAAAAACCAACAAGAACATTTTTCAAAGGGGGGCCTAGCAAAAACAGTTTGGGAACCACTGACTTAATGCAGCTCAGGTTCCAATTGCTTACAGATATAAAGTATGTACATTTTTTATTTTAATTTGTGTTTTAATCCTGCGACTTACCGCACATTTGATTTCCTTTGTCTGAAAACGTTTTATATATTTTGGGGTAAGTTCATCAACAGCTGGTTTGTCCAACTACAGGGCTCAAGGCCCGGTGTCCTGCAGGTTTTAGATATCACCCTGGGTCAACACACCTGAATCAAATGATCAGTTTATTACCAGGCCTCTGGAGAACTTCAAGACATGTTGAGGAGGTAATTCAGCCATTTAAATCAGCTGTGTTGGATCAAGGACACATCTGAAACCTGCAGGACACCGGGGCCTTCGAGGCCTGGAATTGGACACCCCTGATCTACAGCGTTACATCATATTTTATAAGGATGTTGTGTTTTTGTATCATATAGCCACTTACTTGTGGCCTTGTGGTCTTTGAAGAACCCACTCTGCATGGGCCGAGTCCTGCAAGTGTGAAGCCCCTGATATGGGACACAGCTGAGGAGAGCCCCAAGAAGTACAGATGCAAAGAGGGGAGAGCCCCAGGCAGAACTCACAGTCCTCACCTGTTTTTTTTTTACGTCCTTATGTCATCGCCTTCAAATTGTCCTTTTTATTGTAATTTCTGTTTTTACGTTATCCTAACCTCTTCTGTCTTTTTTCTCTTTCATCTATTTGTGCCCTCATCTGTTTTTCTTTTCTTACCTGTCTTTTTAGAGTTTTTCCCTCAACTCAGTCTCCTTCTACGTTAGTCACTTTTTGTGGTTAACTCTCTGTGCTTACCTCTGTCTCTTGCGGGGTTGGTTGTTGTTCTTGATCAGCTGGGCCTTTATGTTTTCTGCCAGTGTGTCGTCGTATTTGGTAGCCCAGTGTCTCAGGATGCTAGTGGCGAACTGGTCTTCTGGGTGACAGGGACGACTCAGGACCATTTTCACCATCTCTTCGCTGGGCCTGTCACAAAAACATGAAGGGATGTTAACAGGGACACAGAAACACAGCTCAAATGCGGAACAGAAACACATGTGAAATGGGGTGTCTGCTATGTGTCATACTTTTCTCTGCGAAGCTGCAGCAGCAGGCAGGACAAGGCCTCAGGGTGCTCTGAACCATAAACAGAAAGGAGGGTTACAATCTTTCCTTTGCTTTGTGTCCCTGTCTATTGAGGATTTATTCACCTTTGTATTTGAGGTGCTGCAAGATGGGGATGATGGTTTCCAGGGGAATGCTGTGGGCCAGAAACAGCTGCCAGGTGCTATATTGCTCGAAGGTCTCCCACTCGAGTGACTGAACTGTGGAGATCGAGGATAAACAAGCAAATGAAGATGGACCATGGCCCGAAAAACTGAAGAGTCAAACTTTTAATCCGAGTTTCTCACTGAGGATGTTGAGCACAGAATCTTTCCGGAACATCACCAGGTTCCCCATCATCACGTGACACATCAGCTCCTGTAACTGCACACACACACAAACACACACAGATGAGACATGGTTTCCCAGCCAGAGCAGCGGGGACGCACCGATCAGGTTTATTACCTGTGTGGAGTCGATAACGGCGACGATCATGTTGAGAAGCTCGCCACTCCGCAGCGTCTCATCTGGAAACTGAACAAGAGCAGGGACCTTCATCAGAGTACTACATTTTCAGTGCTCACACACACAAACTACACCCTTTTTGGCTCCTACCTCAAAGCACACTGTGCGCTGTCGATCTTACGTGCTGCACAATAATGTTTAACATTTAGTATTTACTGTTATATTCCCATCGATCATCATGATGTTGTTTATTCTATTTCTCTCAACAGGTGATCCAGGTGATTGATATATGTATTTTTTGTCTGCTTATTTTGTTGGTTTTTGTTTTTTGCCCTTTATCCCCGTCCCTCTTCTCCGCTGTTTTTTCCCCCCCTCTTTCTTTCTCCCTTTTCTTTTCCTCATTCAAGTCTGTCCCGTATCTAACAAGTGAAAATAAAAAAATAAAATAAACAATAAAAGGTGAATCAAATAGACCATTACGGCAAGGCTGGGATGGTTTATTTGGTAAAGTAAATCCGTTGGGCATCTTTCTTCACCTTTAGACAATAATTCTGATGGCAAAAGAGCCAAACGGGACAGGCAAAAAAAAAAGAGTACTACATTTTCACGTCACATAAAAATGTCATATTGTGATACCATTTCTATAGCGATGCCATACTTTTATGTTCCCTTGTCCCGAGACAAGCCCGGGCATGTCTGAGAACGAGTGACCCAAGACATGATGTTCCAGTTTGATGATGTTTAAGAGTTCAGTTAGTTTAATTATTGTTAAGCTGTTATGTTGTACTTTTACTGGTTAGGCTACTCTTGTACTTGTGTTTGTCTTATGCTGGGTCACTACTACCGCACTCCTCTGTTTCAGTACAGTCAAACATTAAATCATACAGTGTGTCCCCAACAGTGTTGGTCAAGTTACTTGAAAAAAGTAATCAGTAACTAATTACTGATTACTTCCCCAAAAAAGTTATCCCGTTAGTTTACTGATTACTTATTTTCAAAAGTAATTAATTACTTAGTTACTTTTTAAAAACACGATTTACAATCTGAATAGGTGATAAAGCGATAGATCTTTCAGCCCAATTCTACTTTTTCTGCATAATCCATCATACAAAATGTAATCAAATGGAAAAGTCTCTTTTTAAAACTTGTTTTATTAGTTTTAATCTTTTAACTTTATGCATCAAGCAAAAATTTAATTATATGCACCATTCTCTGACTTGAATTAATTTAACATTTAAACCTATTTTCTGCACATTCCAGCACATAAAATAAAATATTTTTTGTGTTTACACTCAGTCTTTCAAATAGATGCAAGTAAAACACAGCAGAAAATAAATAAAGTCAAAGACTCAGCGGTCCTGTTGCTCTATTTTCACCTGTAAAGCAGGCGGAGGTTTACCCTGGTGCAGGTGTGCCGCGGTCAGTTGAAGGATCCGCGAGTTTCTCTGTGAGTTTCCCATTACGTCGTTGCGCACTCGGTGCTTGCTCGGAAGTTTAGGGGTTTTTTTCGCTGTAAAAAGAAGTTTTCTTCCCACGCACGATGGACGCTAATGTTTTTGTCACTTTTTATGGAATCAAACTCAAAGTAAGGTCAGTACTTCCACGCTTTAAACGCTGCACGCTCATACTCTCTCCCACAATCGATATGTGATCCACTGTTGATCTGCACACAGCTGTTGTCACGAATGTCGTGCTTGCTTACGTCACTGTCATGAGACATTCTTGCAAAAAATCACGGTTTTAGTAATGCAGTAACGCAGCGTTCCTACGGGAAAGTAACGGTAATCTAATTACTGTTTTTGCAATAGTAATCCCTTACTTTACTCGTTACTTGAAAAAAGTAATCAGATTACAGTAACGCGTTACTGCCCATCTCTGGTCCCCAATGACAGCAGCTCATTGGAAAAGAAGGATGGAAGTTTCAGGAGCATTTTAAAGGACATGAAGGGAAAAAATAAGTTCCTGGAAGGATGCTCTTAAATCAGTACTGTGTACTGTACTGTGTGAAGATTTTCTGGCTGGTCTCATTTTTAGAGACTTTTTGTGGTGCATGTAAGACTTGGGTAAGCCTACCTCAGAGTAAATTGAGGGTGTGAGGTAGCAGAGTAGCCGGACGTCGTCCTCCTGACAAGCCTTCATGTCCATCATCAGACAAGTGTGGAGGTCACCAAGTGCCGTCGCCTGAGCAAATGACTCGTACAACATCATCTTCCCATTTGCTGCTTTACTGTTGACAGACACAGACATGGAGTTTAACCACGTTTCTCCTATCAACATCTGTGACAGCAGCTTTTTTGTCACACCTGCTCACCTAGCCTTCAGGTAGTACAGCAGGTGATAACCGATCTTTGGCTGCTTCTGGTAAAGTTCAGCAAGCATGTCTAGCAGAACTGAGAAACCGCTGTTGTCCTCTTGCATGGTGACAAGGTTCCTGAAGATCAGACAAACGGGTTTACAAACCGACTCCTCCAGGGACCTACAGAGAAATATAGACGGGTCATCAGAGAGAGCCAGACATGAGTCAATAAGGAGAGAGAGAAGGGGACAGAGTCAGTCTGATCTTACTCCTCCGTGATCTCCTCCGGCAAGACTTCTCCTCTGAAATGATCTTTGAACAGTTCGGCCAAACAGGAAGCCAGAGCTGACATCTGCTCTGTGTCAAAGTCCTCCTGTAGGACAGAACACAACATTGTACCAACATCTCTTAACACTGAAGCCCTGCAGCTGGCCGCACTCTTTTCTGATAAGCCACGAATTACTCATTTAACTCAACAAGATAGCTCACCTCCAGGATGAGATCCACAATCTCCTGCATCACCTCACACTGAGTCTCTGTGTCACTGCAGAGGAAGTGTTGCTGTCAGTTAACAGGAAATGACCTTGATGTAACATCTAACCTGAGGACCTGAAAAAAGACTGGACTTTCACCTGGTCTTCTGAATCTGCTGCACCTTCTCCTTCATTGTGTCATCTAATTGGTCAAGCCAGGGTGTGATATCAGCAGGCTCCTCAATCACAGCCTCTTTGATTGGATGAAATCTGAACTCCCTCTTTTTTCCTGAACAGTGATGGGAGGACAGGTGGTCAAATACTCTACTTCCTGTTTGGGGTGAATTGTTAGAAATTTATAGTAAAACTTCCAAATTATGAATTGGAAATTGAATTTATATTTATAAACTCACAGCTCATATTTCTTCCCCAAACTGGAATACCACACCAGTTAAATCCAGGATAAAACAGGTTATTCTGGTTTAAAGTAGTTTCTAAACCATTTTAAACTGTTTTATTCCAGGATACAATTTATTTCAATTAAACTTGTTTCATTGGTCCAACTTGTATTATTTTGTTTACTCCACTTTAAAATAAATTCATTCAGTTTTGTTCAGTCATTTTGACTTATTTGCATAGAAAAATATAACTGTTAAATTTAAACCCCATCATCTCTATTTCATGACTTAGTGTAGTTAGGTGGGGCTGCAATGGTAGTCCCAATCACCCCTTCACTGCAAACCGCCTCTCAATTTTACATACAGTGGGGCAAAAAAGTATTTAGTCAGCCACCGATTGTGCAAGTTCCCCCACTTAAAATGATGACAGAGGTCAGTAATTTGCACCAGAGGTACACTTCAACTGTGAGAGACAGAATGTGAAAAAAAAATCCATGAATCCACATGGTAGGATTTGTAAAGAATTTATTCGTAAATCAGGGTGGCAAATAAGTATTTGGTCACCTGAAACAAGGAAAATCTCTGGCTCTCACAGACCTGTAACGTCTTCTGTAAGAAGCTTTTCTGTCCCCCACGCGTTACCTGTATGAATGGCACCTGTTTGAACTCATCATCTGTATAAAAGACACCTGTCCACAGCCTCAAACAGTCAGACTGCAAACTCCGCCATGGCCAAGACCAAAGAGCTTTCGAAGGACACCAGGAAAAGTATTGTAGACCTGGACCAGACTGGGAAGAGTGAATCTACAATAGGCAAGCAGCTTGGTGTGAAAAATCAACTGTGGGAGCAATCATCAGAAAATGGAAGACATACAAGACCACTGATAATCTCCCTCGATCTGGGGCTCCACGCAAGATCTCATCCCGTGGGGTCAAAATGATCATGAGAACGGTGAGCAAAGATCCCAGAACCACACGGGGGGACCTGGTGAATGACCTGCAGAGAGCTGGGACCACAGTAACAAAGGTCACCATCAGTAACACACTACAACGGCAGGGAATCAAATCCCGCAGTGCCAGACGTGTTCCGCTGCTGAAGCCAGTGCATGTCCAGGCCCGTCTGAAGTTTGCCAGAGAGCACATGGATGATACAGCAGAGGATTGGGAGAATGTCATGTGGTCAGATGAAACCAAAGTAGAACTTTTTGGTATAAACTCAACTCGTCGTGTTTGGAGGAAGAAGAATACTGAGTTGCATCCCAAGAACACCATACCTACTGTGAAGCATGGGGGTGGAAACATCATGCTATGGGGCTGTTTTTCTGCCAAGGGGACAGGACGACTGATCCGTGTTAAGGACAGAATGAATGGGGCCATGTATCGTGAGATTTTGAGCCAAAACCTCCTTCCATCAGTGAGAACTTTGAAGATGAAACGAGGCTGGGTCTTCCAACATGACAATGATCCAAAACACACCGCCTGGGCAACAAAGGAGTGGCTCCGTAAGAAGCATTTGAAAGTCCTGGAGTGGCCTAGCCAGTCTCCAGACCTCAACCCCATAGAAAATCTGTGGCGGGAGTTGAAAGTCCGTGTTGCTCGGCGACAGCCCCAAAACATCACTGCTCTCGAGAAGATCTGCATGGAGGAATGGGCCAAAATACCAGCTACTGTGTGTGCAAACCTGGTAAAGATCTATAGTAAACGTTTCACCTCTGTTATTGCCAACAAAGGTTATGTTACAAAGTATTGAGTTGTATTTTTGTTATTGACCAAATACTTATTTTCCACCCTAATTTATGAATAAATTCTTTACAAATCCTACCATGTGGATTCATGGATTTTTTTTTTCACATTCTGTCTCTCACAGTTGAAGTGTACCTCTGGTGCAAATTACTGACCTCTGTCATCATTTTAAGCGGGGGAACTTGCACAATCGGTGGCTGACTAAATACTTTTTTGCCCCACTGTACATCTTAGACACTGAGGGTTTTGCATGGTGCAAACATTGATGGAAACTGCTGACAGTCTCTTGTTTGTGTTGCATTTCTCTTATTGCTTCACTTTAATAGTGACAAACATCTTCATCAGAATTCTAGGGCACGTTTTGAAACACTCCCATCCAAACATGTATGTGCAGTTACACATTCGCTGTAGACTGAGCAACTTCTTGTTGGCAGTTTTCAATGTCTGTATTTTGGCCAAAGTTATAATTACCAGATTCGGATCCACATTTACTTTCCTGATTCTCGTTATGAGTTTTTCAAATTACTTAAATCATAGAAGGTATGCAATACTGTACAACAGATTAATGGGACAGCAGTGGAGAGCCTTCAGGACTTGCCTTAGAATCCCTCTGGTTTAAAATATGTCTTCAACATTAAAGTAATCCAGTGACAGTTGTCAGTATTTCTGCTGCACAACAAACAATAACTTAATAATTCATTCAGCAAATGTTATTTTTCAAATTGTAAACAAACACAGTTTAAAACAGCATTTCTGTCATTGCCAGTGTAACTCAGTTTAACGCAATAACCTGAACAACAAAGTGACCAATCCCATTAGGACCCCGTCCTCACTTGAGCTCCGCCTACAAACTGTCAAAAGTAAATTTACTCGCATGAGAAGGATTTCTCCCTGAACGCAGGGAGCTACCAGCGAGAGCGTGGAACTGTAACAGCGCATGCAATCAAGTCATCTGAAGTTGTTTCTCCAGGTGTTACCTTTGTTGTTGACTTCCTCCTCATCGTCACTGAAAGTTGCTTCTGTGTTGTCGTAGCAACTCTCCTCCTTGTCCAACACATGATTGTCCATCTCCATGGAAACAGACTCCTCCATCTTCACTGCATAATTGAAAAAAATAAAGTGAAAGAGAGGGAAGAGGTTAATGTTTGTGTCTACTCACCTGTGTGTGTGTGTGTGTGTGTGTGTGTGTGTGTGTGTGTGTGTGTGTGTGTGTGTGTGTGTGTTACCTTCAGTAGGAGGTGATGGTGGGCTGCAGAACTCGGGGAATCTTTCTCTGAGCATTGACCGGAGCTCTCGGTCCAGCTTTGGGTTATCAAACAGTGGAGCGAGGTGACTGAAAGAGAGATCAATAACCAATAATCAAAAATGATCCCTGTGATAGAGTGGTCAATGATCAATAAATATTGATGCTTCTTACGCCAGGACCCTCTTTTCCATAATGAAGTTTAGCGAGTTGAAGACACCCTGACGGACCTGAGACTCCAAAGGAGGGAAGAAATGAGGGATGATCTGAAGAGGGGAGAAAGCAGACCAACAATAAGAGGAGAGAAATTAAAACCTGGTAAAGTGTGTGTGTGTGTGTGTGTGTGTGTGTGTGTGTGTGTGTGTGTGTGTGTGTGTGTGTGTGTGTTACCCTGCACATGAAGTCCAACAGCGTTGCAGTGATGGCAGGATGAGGTTTCATGGAGTGATGCATCACCAGAATGGCTGGCTCTGAAACACATCATCACAGGTGAGTGCTGTTTTACCTGTCTACCTAATAACATGATGACATCATCTCTGACCAACACCACTCTGGTGTAGCCTAAATTGTGTTACCTATGTTCATGATGCTGTCCTTCTCAGGGTTGAAGAACAGCCAATCATAAAAGAGAGCCAGCTTAGCATTGGAGGCCGCCACGTTTGACTGCAGTCACACAAATCAACTGATTATTAGTTATTGACCTATAACAATTCCTGCAGATTGACAGCCTGAAACCAGATCCCCTTACCGTGCAAGTGGTTAGCAGCCAGCCAATAATAGCCCAGCGTGGCAGGATATCAGAGCTCAGGACCTCATTGGATGGATGTACTACCCCGCAGATGTAGCGAATCAGATCACAGCGTAGTGATTGGCTCTCTGCTGTGGACAGGTACTGTCTCTGAAACCAGTCCTGGTACCGTTTCTGCTGCCCAAAACGCACCTGAGCAGAGATGGAGAAAGAGTCAAAATCAACTGAGTCACAGGTGGAGAAACACCCAAATCACAGCATTTAATAACGTGGTTGAGGTGAGAGTGCGAATGGCACCTTTGTCTGACCTGTTTACCTGCTGTATTTGTTTTGTTGGAGGCTTTTGCACTGGTGAGTATGACTGTCAGGCTCTACTACACATCTGAGCTTTTAAGAAATATCACAGCTCTTCTTTTGTGTAACCTGGTGAGCCACTCTCTCAGGGCCCTATATATACCCTTTAGCTGACCTCCTGTGAACGCAGAAGAAGGAAGGGGGAAAAAGGCTGGAGTCCAGGCGATATTGGTGATGATGATTTGTTGCAATTGCCAGTGCTATTTGATCAGCATGGTGTTCCCTGATTCATCAGGATACTACATGTTTTCCTCCCTGGATGCTTTTGCAGGACCTGCTGTCTCTGTCAGGTGCTGACAGCCACCGTGCTGGAGGTGAAACGATCCTCCAGCTCCTCGCAGGACAGCACTGATAAATGCATGGTCCATCTCATCTTAAATGATCCTAATCAGACCAGAAACTTGGTTTTCTTGTCTCTGACAGAAACAGATGCTACAGATAAACCTGCAGCTAAACGGACTGTAATGGACTCTTAACTTAACTCGGCATGTGTTCAGGTCCCACTCACAGCAAGGGGCTAACACTGTTGGATCTTTCAGCTGCCTTTGACACAGTAGATTGTGGTATCCTGAGTGACAGCCTGCAATTGTGGGTGGACATCTCTGAGTCAGTTCTGGGCTTGTTCTCTTTCTGTCTCTCTCACAGGAGTTTATTTTCCCACTTTACCTTGTGATGTGTCCCAAAGTTTGATCTTAGGGCCCATGTTGCTTTTCCTGTATATGCTTACACAGGGACACATCTGAATGATTTTGAAGGCATCTTAAAGCATTGTTACGCAGATGACATCCAGATGACATGCGGTTCCAGAACCCAGAATTTAGCCAAGGTCTGTCTCCTTAAAAGCTCTCTTGTGTCTGTGAACTACTACATCATTACATAACTATTACACCTCTGAGGTCACCTGATCAGTGCTTGTCCAGTTTAAAGCCAAAACGAGACTGAGCTTTTCAGATTTTGAATTCCATATTGTGGTACTAAAAGATCTGGTGGTGATAGTTTCAGTCATTATGTACTACTTATAAGGTTGGGGAATCCTGCAGTCAGGTGAGACTTGAGAATGAGTGAAGAAGCAGATGAACAGAATCAACTTCTGGAAATTAGTTATGTGGAGAACCACTCTAACATAATTAAATACAGAGTGGTACCCTCTTCTTAAAGATCATTACATTTATGAGGTAAAAGAGGCTTTACCCTGGAGGTCATGAACAGTAGTTTGGTCTCCATGTCTGGTGTGAGTCGACAGGCCAGAAACTTCCTGGAGGTCCGAGCCGTCAGTAGTTGGAGGACACCCGTGAACTGAGGGCTCAGGACTTGAGGATTGTGCAGCAGGTCTCTCCACAGCAGCTCCATCTCTGGGATCCGAGCAACATTTTGCAGCAGACGAACCAGATCTCTGCCGATGATTAGACAATCCATGAACTACAGACAGAGAGAGGTCATCAGTGTAAAGAGAAGGCGTTAAATACATAACAGACCACACCATACTTCCTTCCTCTCCTTATTACCTTCTCCCTCAGCATGCTGATGCAGAAGTCCACTTCTTTCTGGCGCAGAGGCAGCAAGTTCGGAGCTCCGTGGTCCACAATCAGGCGAAGGTAAGTGTAGACTGACATTGCTATGAGCATCCCACTCTTCAATACCCACTCTCTGGAGAGACACAAATAATCAGCTGCTGCACTATAAAAACCCACTCTGGGCTCTAACAGAGACAGAAAAAAGCAGCTGATACTACAGTCTGAAAAAAACAGTGAATCATACTTCTGCTCGAGCAGGATATCCAGGACACTCTCAGCCAGCCACAGGTTTTTGGTGGAGATGTCTCCGCCTGTGCAGAGAGAACAGTGACATTACAGTCAGAGCGAGTGGTGACAGGATTCGTGGTTTCAGCTCAGGTAAAAATCCAAGTGTCTCACCTGCAATCTGTTTCAGCAGTGTCATGATGACGCCATCAGCTCCCATCACGCCACTCTTCACCAGCTCTCTGACCAGCCACACTAGCTGCACACACACCAGCACTTCATTAGTAACCACCACAGTCAGGTTCAGGTGAGATCCCACATTTAAGACCAGGACCTGAGGAGGGACGCTGCTGTCCTGTCCTCTCAGGACCTAACCTGGTCTGCCTCTGTTCCTTCACAATGGTAAACACGGGTCCCTGCTACCCAAAACACTTGTATATAACTGTGTGCAGTTATCTTTGTGTGTGTGTGTGTGTGTGTGTGTGTGTGTGTGTGTGTGTGTGTGTGTGTGTGTGTGTGTGTCTCCACCTGTATTGGTTTACCTGTGTTCGGGGGACGTCTTGCAGTTTCAGGAACTTCTCCATCAAGATCTGGTTGATTTTAACCAGGACAACGTTCATCCCATCTCTGTTGACCAGTGCCAGGTCTCTGTAACACTATCACCACACATAGTGATGTTATTGTAATGTCAGAGTCGCATCAGACATTACCCACAATGCTGCAGAAACTCACCCTTTGGGCCTGAGCCGGCTCTGTGAGGACCAGTGTGAAGAGACCCAAACACACCTCCTCATGCTGTTGCTGACCTTTACATGCCTACAGAACAGGTAAAACAGGAAGTTAGACACAAATTACAAAAATATAGTCTTTTCATTTTCAGGTCTCAGAAAATCAGGAAGGTGTCTGGTTCCAGCTGTTAAACACAGAGTAGACTGAATGAAGTGATTCAGAATTGGAGCACATTAGAGAGACTAGAGATTAGATGTTTCCAGCTCTGACATCCAGAAGTATTTGGACAAGGACACATTTTTGTAGTTTAGTCTCTGCACACTACCACACTGAATTTCAAATCAAACTCTCTGCTTTAGTTAAAGGAGTATAATAAAAATATTGCAATAAGGAATTCCAGGAATTTTTTATTCACAGTTCCCTATTTTCAATTTCATGGAGAGACCTGTTCTTTTGTTATTTCATTAATATAGATCTGGAGTCGATTCCAAGGATTGTATTTGTATTTTATAGTCACTGAAATTTTCTATATGAGGGTCAAAGAGATGTCAGTGTAAGTGAAGGAGGTCATTGTTAGGCTGAAATACCCAAATGAACCAGTCAGAGAGTAGGGCTGTGCGATATGACCAAAATCTCATATCCTGATATTAAGACATCTATCGTCCGATAACGATATAAATCACAAAAATGTAACATTTTCTGTAAATTCTGTGAATCTCGGGCAGCTCAACTTGCGTGAAGTGTTTCCAGCTGCGCGTCATGTACCTGGAGTCGAGTGTTTTAACCGATGCATGAAACGATACATTTTCAGACATAAGTTGTAACAGCCGCCGTTTTCTTTGTGAGTATTTATTACACAGCCGTAAATATTGCCGTAAACAGTTTATTTTGTGACACCACGAAACAAACGATAGCGTAAAATGAAACGATAGACGTTTTTATATAGTCATCCGATATATATCGTTATATCGAACAGCCCTATCAGAGAGAGCTAAATCTTTAGACGTATCCAACAATCTGGTTCATTCTTGAAAAGACTGAATGCACCAAGCAGCAACAACAAACCAAGACCACAGATACATTAAAGAGCATGGTGACAGAATTATTTCCACAGTTCAGAAAAACCACCATCTAACTAAGTCAGGAATAGTGTTAAGAAGGCAGGAGCATCATCAAGCATCACATTCAAGAGACAATCAAGAAACACTTTAATAACAGGAAACAAGGTTTGCACCTTGTTGAAAACCAAGAAGGTGTAAACCACTGGTGGTCATCTGATTAGACTTTGCCAGATAGCATCAAACACAGCCAGCACAGTCCTGGAAAAAAAAAATGAAACCAAGATGAACCTGTACCAAAACAATGGAAGAGAAAAGTTTGAAGAAGGAGAGGAACAGTTGATCTGAAGCATCCACACAATCTTTGTGGACTGCTGATAGAAGCAGCAGGATAATGTGTGGAGTGTGCAGCGTTGTACTCCCTCACATTCTCACTGATGCTGCAGAACTGATCACACTTAGCTTCACAGAGGAGCTACAACTTACAATACAACTTTATTTATATAGCAAATTTTAAAAACCGGCGGACACCAAAGTGCTTTACAATAGAAATAGGGAAATTAAGACATGATTAAATAAAAGACCATTAACAAATTACCACATATGTCAGCAGGTTGAAGGCACTAATTATACAGGAATAAAAGGGAATATAAGAACAAACTTACTAAGAACAGATAACTAAAAGATAAAGTACATAGATAAAAATGGAGCCAAATGTAAAATAGGGACACTAACTAGATGGAAAAGCTAGGTTAAATAAGTGAGTTTTTAAATGAGATTTAAAAGATAGAATGGAGTCTGACGCACGGATAGCGATGGGAAGGTTGTTCCACAGGTTAGGTGCAACAAGGGCAAAAGCACGGTCACCCCTAGATTTAAGTCTAGATCTAGGCTGAACCAAGAGTAAGTGGGCTGAAGACCTGAGGGCTCGCCCAGGGACATATGGACTAAGGAGATCGACAAGATAGCTAGGGGCTAAATTATTTATAATTTTAAAAGGTGAGCAACAATATTTTAAATTTGATACGATATGATGATGAGCCAAAGAAAACTCGAAAAACAAGCCATGAATCGGTTTCAAAAATGACACTTTCGATTATTGAGAAATCTCTCTCTTGACGAGGGATGGTAAAAATGGTAAAAGGCCTGCATTTGTATAGCGCTTTTCTAGTCCCTAAGGACCCCAAAGCGCTTCACACTACATTCAGTCATCCACCCATTCACACACACATTCACACACTGGCAATGGCAAGCTACATTGTAGCCACAGCTGTCCTGGGGCACACTGACAGAGGCAAGGCTGCCGGACACTGGCGCCACCGGGCCCTCTGACCTCCACCAGTAGGCAAACATGGGGTTAGTATCTTGCCCAAGGATATTTGGCAGCCAGGAGGGAGCCTGGGATCGAACCACCGACCTTCTGATTAGTGGCTGACCTGCTCTGCCACCTGAGCTACAGCCACCCAAAACTTAAATGGGTATCGTTTAAGTTTTATCTGATACCGGTGCCAACCCGGTACTTTTGAAACAGTGCCGGTAACTACAACGGTGTTTGCTAGTTTACCTTACATGCATTAATTTAATAACGTGGTTAGCCTACTCAAGGTGCAGAGAAGAACGGCTGCTGTTGCCATCATCATTCATCATCATTTATGCTACATTGGCAGGGCTAGGGGCCAGGACTCTCCTCTTTGGGTTCTTGGGGGATGTTGATAACTCCGGGTCGATAACAGGCACCACACACGCAGTAGATGCGCTCGGTGTGAGGTCTTGCAGCAAGCTATCAAATACGGTGCATTTCTCGGCTTTTAAAAAACGCTATGCGTCGCCAGGTGTTTCATCAAATTCGAGGTGTTACCTCCTTTGCACAGTATCACCTTAAAGCACTTGTTGCAGGCTGCTGAGTTTGCATCTTTTGATGTGAAGCACAGCCAGACTTTTGACCGCTTCGCCTTGGGCATTTTTAATCTGTAGCTCTGCTCTAAAAGAACGTACCTACCTGGGCCCGCCTACTATCCTTGCAAAGGTAAAATGATTGGCTAGAATCCAAAGTGTATGACATCTCAGGGAAAAAAAGCACCGAAATGTGCGCTGCTTTTCGGTCTGGTTACTACCGTTTATGTCAGAACCGGTGCCATTATGGCACCGGATACCGGTACCCATCCCTACTCTTGACTCACTGATTGACACCACTGACTGGCCAGTTGTTGACATGCAATCTGTAGACGTCATATTTTCGGATCACAGCCCACATCAGCGGCACATCATAACAAACTAATCCACAGATTACATATCCTGCACATAACCCTAATAAGAGTCTTCAGTCGTTCTTTAGTACAAACTCTGGGTTTTCAGATACTGCAGTATTGTTAGGTTTCGCCTACAAGCACATCATGCCTAAATACAAGCATAGTCGTTTAATTTGGTGATTGCAGTACTATGTGTGAGTATTAAATGTAATAGTACTGAGAGGTGTGCTACGAATTGTGAAGATAAAGGCATTAGTGAGCTGTGAGGCTAAAGTCAGAGTTTTCTGTGTCATGAAGGACTAAATCACCATGGTAACTGATGCTCAACACATCACCTGCTGGAGATCAGGTTATGTTCAGAGTCTGAGTTAAAAATGAGGTGGATGTGCCATGTTTTCACTGATTCTTTTATTTAGCTCTCGTTTATTTGGCTTTAAAGCGTGATTTAGATTCTTTCCTGGAAAGTAAGTTTATAAATGAGTTGCTGCTGAGTTGTACCTTACAAACCCGCCAAATGCAGCCTGCATGTAAAGCTCCTGCAGCTCAGACTGTGCCCCAGGAAGGCTGAATGCACAAAATGTGTTTATGTTAGCTCCAAATGCTACTCCGTTTCTTCACATGGGTGGAAGTCATTAGTAGTATCAGCAGTAGTAGTACTGATGTTTCTTACGTTGGCCGTGAGTGCGTCATTGGCCTCCCTCTCTGACAGTCCATTGGTCAGTGCCTGGACGATTCCAACACAGCGCTCCAATCTCTGCAAGCAAACACAGCAATCAGTGTAAACAAGACAACAAACACTAAACACACCGACAACACAAGCACAACAAGAATCAATGCAAATACGAGAAACACAAACAGAAAATAGTAAAGATTAAAAAAAATAGCATCAACTAGTCGATCAGCTGACGGCGCCCCACAGAAAAACTGAACTTTATCAAACAGCACTCACAGTTAGCGTCTGACAAGTGAGACACTGCGCATGTCACTTTTCTTATGTTCGTATGTTTACGTAGAGTTAGCATGCTAAGCTAACTGATTTGGTTTTAATGAGCCCCGCGGTTCGGTCCGCAGTCCCTCACACCGTGAACGACCACGACAGCAGAGACACAAATTCCACACCTCCGGTAGCAGTTCCGAGTCCCACAACGTACCCTTCTGCTGAGCTAACGCTATGAGCCTGCTGCTAGCCGTGCTAACCGTCTAATAAAATGGTACCGCGGAGTCTTTATACCAAGGCTGCGCTGTCTGCCCATAAGCCCGCTCTGTCCTGGTTTAGTCCGGGTTTAGTCTGCCTTGAGATCAGCTAAACAGCGTCAACCTACCTCCTCCAGCTCGTCTTTGGCGTCCAGTGGGGTGGATACCAGGAGCCGGCCCTGCGGCTTCGCTTTCGCCGGTGCAGGCTCCATCTGCTCCCACTGCGCCTCGCCGGGCCCCGCGGAGTTGAGACGGACTGGGACTACCTGTGCTGGGGGGCGTGATGGGTGTCTGTGTCAGTATAACGGAGGATTTAGGGTCGGTGCCTTGCGGTGAGCCGCTTCGGACCTTTAATGTGTGTTTTCAGAACTTTTTCGGGGTCAGTTCGGACCGTGAGTCCCACTCTGTCCGACACTGTAACATAACGGACGTCCGCACTGAGCCAGCAGGGGGAAGAGGCGGGACCGCACACGCCGTCGAGCAATCATTTCACTTACACCACAGACTGAAGTGAGCGTGGACCAATAACAGGAGCGAGAACCTGGAGCCAATCCTCGATCGCCTATACTGAAGGCCAACAGCATGGAAAGGGCTTCAGCGTGTTTATAGTGTTGTAGAGCAAATATTGAAGAACTGTAAAGTACGCAGTACTTGTCTGCTTACTGCACTTAGACTGCTGTTATACCACCTTTTGAGATACTTTTGAAGTATGTACAAAATAATAATTTAAAAAAAACTGGTTTTCTTCATCCCAAATGTCAACATCTAACAAGTAAAAACCAGTAACAACATAAACTCAAAAAGAGGAATGTGAAATGGAATGTTTAAAAGATGGTAGTGAGACCTCCTGTGATGGAAGGTTTGGAGACATTGACACTGACAAAAAGACAGCCAAACAAATGAGCTGCATGGATGACATTAATTCCTAAATGTCTCAAAACCTTTTAGAACCAGGCAGAGAAAAGATAGAAATAGTTGTTGTTGGTCCAAAAAGTCAGAGACAGAAAATTTGTTCATATTTATCATGCATTGTTGTCTGTTGGTACAACTGAGGAGGATAGTGGTATAGGAGGAAATGGAGATGATGATTCACTGTGGAGACCAGCAAAGAGAACAGTGGGAAGAAGAATAATCCAGATTTTTAACCACATTTGACTACTCTGCAGTGGGCTATTTTGGAACTAACATAACGGACGTCCGGACGTCCATTTCCTCATATCTATTAGTTTTATTATGGACAAAACAGGACAATATAAAGTAAAGTAAAAACAAAAATCAATCTGCACACTCTAGGAGAAAGAACTGGACCACCTGCACATTCCACTTCCAGGGTCTACTTAGCCATGAAGCTCCTGGTGCCGTTTTTGAGCAGATGTTAATAACAGAGGAGATTTGGAGCACTGCAGAGTCGGCAGAGTGTTGGTGACTTAAACTTGGTCACTTAAACCTCACCACCCAGTGACCAACTATGTAACTTTACATGGTCTGACACTTCATGGCTGAGTTGCTGTGGTTCCTAAATGCTTCCATTTTGTAATAACAGCACTTACAGCTGATCCCAGAACATCTAGGAAGGAAGAAAGTGTATAAACTGATTTGTTACAACAGTGGTCGATTTCAAAATACTTTAGGTTTAGAAAAACTGCTGGATTGTCTAAAGTGGACTGTATTGTTTTCATAGACAAATTCATGTTAATTGATGTGGACTTGAATACATGTTACTGACATGAAAAATGATAGAACTATCTGTGTTAAGAGGTATACTCTAAAACACTTCTTCAGTAGGGAATCAGAGAAGAGAAACACACAGAACTTCTTGCTAGCAAGGGCAGCCTCCCGAACTGAGACTCGCGCTGAGAAACTGCCCCGGTCTTTATTTATACTTCAGTGGGTGCTTGTGTGTGTGTGTGTGTGTGTGTGTGTGTGTGTGTGTGTGTGTGGTGTCAGAGTGTGACCCCATAAATGACTTCCCGAAACCTGCTGGTCTCGAAGTCCAGAAGTTCATCAAATCAAAAGGCACTTAGACTAAGACAGATATAGCTATGTTAATTCTACCGTAAAACAATAAGACAAGGTACGACCTCTCCCATACTCCTAGGATGTGGGTGTGAACGCCAGAACACCCTGGAATGTTACAGACCTCCTAGGATGAGACATTCTTTCAATATGCCACCAATTATATACTTCTAAACACAAATGATTACATGCAGTATTCTACCATATGCAAACTTATATCATTAAAAGATTAGAATAGAATAGAATAGAATAGAATAGAATAGAATAGAATAGAATAGAATTCAACTTTATTGTCACTGCACAGGTACAGGGCAACGAAATGCAGTTTGCAGCCATCCAGAAGTGCTTTAGTGATATAGATATATTACAATATGTATTAGCAATAATATAGATATGTAAGTATATTACAGAAATGGGTCTATTATGATATGTTATAATGTACACGGTATGAAGTATGTTGTGAATATTCTATAACTATAAGTATGTACAGGCTGTAGTGAGTACAAGCTATGTACAGGATATGAACAGGATATAAATATGAAAAACTATACAGAATATGAGATAAAAAACTTTACAGAAATCTGAGATATACAGTTATACAGAAATGGGAACTATGCAAGTTGTAAACAGTTGTAAATTATACTGACTACTAAATACAATTTTCCGTTGACAATCTGAGTAGCTGCTTTCCTTTAAAAGTCATGTTGAGAAACTAATGAAGACATTGAAACCTGAGGCTCTCTTTTAGAAATCTCTGTTTAATTGGTAGGTTTCTCATTTTACCTCTAGTGATGCACAGTGGTGGGTGGATCCATATGTGTTTGCCAACTCCTGCATTTATTTATTGTCTTGCATATTTATCACACTTATATGTTTAGATCATTAAACACATTATTATATTAGACAAAGATAACCTAAGTAAATACAAAATAAAGTTAATAACTGATGATTTCATTTAGAAAGGGAAAAAATATTTCACTGTCTGACAAAGTGAAAGGCTAAAAGATCTCAAAAAACAAGTCATCATGCCACAATCAGGCACATGCCACAAACAGCTGAGAAACAAAGTCACTGACATCTATGAATCTGGAAAGGTTTACAGAGCCATATCTAAGGCTTTATAACTCGAGTGAAAAACGGTGAGAGCCATTATCCAGCTTGGAACAGTGGAAACCTTCACAGGAGTGCCTGGCTTACCAAATTTACTCCAAGAGTGGATTGACAACTCATCCAAGAGGTCACAGAAGAACCCCTAACAACACCTAAAGAACTGCAGTCTTCAGTTGTCTTGTTAAGGTCAGAGTTCATGATTCAACAATCTGTCACATCTGACATCAAACTAGCATCATAGTAACTTTAACATATGGTGGTGTGATGGTCTGGGACTGCTTTGCTGCTTCAGGATGTGGACTACATGCTGTAATTGATAAAATCATGAATTCTGTAAATACAGAAAGAAAAAAAGTGCTTGCATGTATGTGTGTGAGATGTAGTATAAAGAACTTTGAGTGCTCAATTTGAGTAGAAAAGGGCTATATTATAAACCAGTCCTTCTACCAAGTATCGAGCAAAACACCATCTTTCACAACAGCAGCTTAAAGTTACAATTCACCCTTATGGCTTGTTATATTTCACACGAGTGACCATTCATAACCACTGGCAATGGCAGCAAACCTAGAAGCTGTAGTACTGAGAAATATTTTTGTGCTGAAATCACAGTGAACATAAAGTTTTGACACGGTACAATTAAATCCTGAAAAACTGAAATAAATCACACATTTTTAGGGATTTTGCAACCTGAGTAACCCTCATCATTCAGGCCACTCACACATGGACTCTATTCTCAGACCAAGTCCTTTGCACTCTGTCCAAGCACTCGATCCTCTAATGTGTGCCTTTGTTTTGTTTTGTATATATCCCTCTCGATAATATATATTTCTCCTGTTTGTTATTTATTCCTGCTGTCTACTATTTATACTTAATCTGGCACAGTTGGTGTGGAGAACCCATAATTTCATTGTACATGTGCAATGACAATAAAAGACTATTCTATGAACTTAAAACATGCAAAAAAAAATCACCTGATGTGGCAAATATGACAATGGATTTATTGACAATAAAGGCACACAGGTAGCAAACACAGTTTATTGTTGTATTTACACATTTTCTTCCTCGTGATTAATTTATCTTACAGTAAAACATTTGCCTATCTTTGTTTTTCTCTACAGTCTTTGGTGAAAGTTCACTTAGTCTTTTATCTGTCATCTTAAACAATGTTCTGTCCAATTAGATGGGAAGATGAGGAGGCGGGTTCTTGATGTCCTCCTGATCTTTTAGTTAGTGGCGTTCTCTCCCACCAACCAGTACGTCCTCATGCGTCCTTTCCCTTTCACTTCAATCTCTCCTCTGAGCTGCAGCTGGAAACAGCTGAACTCCTGCAGAACCTGACGAGTCGCCTCCGACACGTGAATCTTCAGAGCTGCAAAGACACAACAACGCATTACGTCACACCTGGCCGAGCAGGGGATAAAGTGCTCAAGTACAACCACAGCATGACAAATATGTAAGGTCCCAAAACCTGCAGTTCCTCTAATGTTCACCAAAGGCTCCAACAGCAAATCAGTCAGCATAGACACCCATGTTAAAACTTTAGCAGAAATAAACATGTTTACAGCCTGACACACAAACTGGTTTGGCCTGTGTAAATAATTTCTCCCTTCATAACAACTGTAAGAGGGGAGGCTGAAAGTCACCTCTGGCTTTATAAAAATAAAATAGGCAGCAGGTGCAACAAACCAGTATGTGGCTACATCCATCTTTTAGATTCACTTTATTCCTAGAACATACACTAAATGATGTTTTTGTCTTTCGCCATCAGAGTTGATTAGACTAAAGAACCAATCAAGTTAGACCTGTCCTGGTGGACACAGACATGTGATTACTTAGCAGGAAGCAGGCCCTACCCTCCCCAGTTGACTCCATGCGTGACGCTGTATTGACCGTGTCTCCGAACAGACAGTACCTCGGCATCTTCAACCCAACCACGCCAGCACATACCGGACCTGGTGACACACACACCAACACTAAGTCTGCACTGTTCTTTTACTGTAGTGTAATGATAGTAGTGATAGTAATGCCGTGTATTGTAGTATTTCTGGCTGCAGTGTATGTAGTACCGCTATGGATGCCAATGCGGAGCCGTAGCTGCTGATTGGGTCGGTGTCGGATCTGGAAGCTCTTGACAGCTTCCAGCAGGGCGAGGGACATGCGGGCGACCTCTCGACCGTGAAGTTTACCGTTCCTGGCAGGTAGTCCTGAGACCACCATGTAGGCATCACCGATTGTTTCTACCTGAAAGGTGAAGATGTACACGGTAAACTGATCTGACTCACAGGTGGGATGTAGCTTAGATTAGCTCAGTTTAGCAAATTGTACCTTGTATACATCAAAGTTGTCTATAATGGCATCAAAACAGGTGTACAAGTCGTTTAATAACGTCACAACCTGCAGGAGGAAAACGCAGACACAGAAGGTGAGTGAGATTTCACACCAAAACAATCAGAAATGTACTGCAATAATAGCTCAAACCAGCAGATGGCAGCCTTATGTTTGCACGTTGTGATCTGAATGTATAGATCAGGCGTCTCCAACTCCAGTCCTCACGAGCTACTGTCCTGCAGCTTCTTCAGCATGCCATCAATTTTGGCAAAGGCCTGGTCACAAGCCACTCATTTGATTTAGGTGTGTTGGAACAAGGATGCATCTAAAAGCTGCAGGACAGTACCTCTCTCCAGGACCTGAGTTGGAGAACCCTCATGTGGATGGTTTCCCTGTAGCTTCCTCCGGGTTAACAACCTGCAGTGGCGTGCTCTCTGCAGACAGAGTGGTGAAGCCAACGATGTCGCTGAAGTAGATGGTGACAGAGTCAAACGCTTCAGCCTGAACTGTCTCTCCTCGTTTTAACTGCTCTGCTACAGAACTGACACATAAATAGGATGTTATAGTACTGCAGTATCCAGTATTTAGTGTAGTATTCAGGGCAGTAGTACTGAAGTATAGTTACTGTGGGAGTATCTGGTACAGCAGGGCCTCCGCCTTCCTCTTTTCCTCATGATAGGCCTGCGTTCGCTCCTCCACCAGCTCCTCCAGGTTATTAGCATACTGCTCCATCCGGGAGAGCAGATTGTCCAGGATGTTAGAGCCATATCCTCTGAAGAGACACATGATTGGACAGAGACAGACAGGGTGACAGGTGTTTGGCTTTCTGTTTTGTGAGTGACCGTTTTTCTACATATTTCTCTCATTTCTCAGCCTCTATTTTAGTGAAAGAACAACATGAATATTTATATTTCAATATTTCTTTACTGGCTGATTTTACAGAGTTACCGGGGACGCTCTCTACCAGCTCTGTTTAGTGTCCAAACAGAGAGCTGAATAAAAGCTTTGTACAGCTGAGAGCATACTCTGAGATGTTTTGCATGTCTCCTGCTTCAGCATTAATCAGAGCATCATAAAAACCTGTCTCAGAATAAATGTGGGTCCGTCGCCTCTCCCTCACCTGTGCTGCTTCCTGAGCAGGATCTTGATGGTGTTGAAGTCGGGACGCTCGCTTGGCTCTTCACTCCAGCAGCGCTGCATCAGGACACCGAGCTCCTCACTGTGACTGTGGAAGCAGAGGGAGGGGCGGAGGGGTGGGGTGCCACCATGAATCACTGCCTGCACAATCTCTGTTGGAGGGAGGGGGGGCATTGGTTGCAAAAGCACACACGTTCAGCAGTAAGAGGTAAGTAGAAACACAAACACTTAAAAACGCTGATGCTCTAATTCTAGAAGACTCAATCCTGTGAATCCTCCTTTGTCTGATCATTTCTTAACATATACATTTACAATAATGGATTACACAGCATTAATACATTATTGGATGTATTATTGGGAATACATTTAATTACAGCAGATGTCTTTCTAAAAGGGTTGTAACTAAGTTTAAGGATATAATTCCTCCACTGTTATCTTCTTCAATACCATGTGCCAACAGAGTGCAGAGTAGCTACGTGAACTCTACCCCCACAATGGTCGATTATCTTTGAACTTGAAGATGTAAAATTATTACATTTGACAGCTGTGGCTGTCAAATGTGAGGGGGACATCCATCCATCACCATACACAAACCTCATGTCATTGAAGTAAGTCTGAAAGAAATCAGCTGATAAACAAATCTACAGAAGCTCCAAACACAGGCTCAGATCTCTTTCATCCTCACGAGGCTGGTTCAGGGTGCTCAGAAAGTCCTGGATGGATTTCCATGAAACAGGATGAACTTTTGGAGTCAATCCTAATGTGGATCCAGGACATTTTGGAGTGATAATTTACCATTGTGAGATAGGTAGGCCTGAGTGCACAAGCAGTGTTCACCTGGAAGTGCTGAAGTATCAAAACAAAGAAATGGTCTGTCTGCTAATTAGACTGGTTCTTATACTTGAGTATGCAAAGCACTTTATACAATATACCCTATTCCCACCTGCTTTCAAACATTCACACTCCGATAAAAACATCACAGAGCAACTCGGGGGGTTGTATCTTGCTCAAGGGCAAGTTGTCACGCAGATCAAGCAGTTAGGGATCAAATCACCAATGTTCCAGTTAGCAGATGACCTGCTCTACAGCCACTCCAAAAGTGAGCACAAGTAAGAAACTGATGTTTTTAGAAGTTCAGCTGTCAGAACAGAGCTCAGGTGAAGCTGAAAAACAGGGGGGGGGATCAGAAGTGTATTTCATTAGCAGCAACAGGAGGGAATATAGCAGTTAAAATGATTATGACCACCTGACTCCAGACAAAAACTTTAATTTTTGTTTCCACACGTTGAAGTGAAATAACACAACTCTTCTGTCCTTCAGTTGTTCTTACAGTGAAAAAACTGCTAATTGGTTTGGGACTTGAGAGAGGTCATTGCCGATGGCACCAATTTAGAGATGATAACTCCATTAGGATTGTAGTTGAACTCGAGCAGAAATATCCATGTGAGTAAAGAAACTGGCTGTGGTGCCTGAAGCTGATGCTATTATGAGGTTGCTGCTCGATTCATGCCTCAAATTAAAGTGGAAGATGCTGTAAAACGGTTTTTGGTGCTGTGACATCGCTACAAAAGAAAGCTGCCAAGCATCTAAAAATGGAGCTTTGTCTATCACCTTCTCCCTTATATATTAGAAGCTCAGCATGCGGACAATTGGTGTGAATGTCAAGTCTCGTTTATTTGTCCTACAGCAGCGACTCAGGTCAGACACACATTAATCTATTGACCTATTATTGTAGGGTCTTTATCTTACAATATAAAGCACCTTGAGGTGACTGCTGTATAAATAAGGTTGAACTGAATTAATTTAACCCTGAGAAACACACATTCACCTTTAGGGGAGAGAGAGTGTGAGTCGAGGTAGAAAACTCCTCTGAGCAGAGCCACTTCCTGCAGGATCACTCCAAAACTGTACACATCCCCCTTTTGTGTCCCACAGTTCGGAGGACAATCTATCCTCACCAGCTCTGGAGCTGTCCACAGCTTCCCTGCCAAGTGATCAATAACTGATATCAGTGAAAACAACATCCTCATAGACAGTCTTTAATGTAGAGCGTCAGCTTCAATACATACGTGCATAGTAAGCATGTGTGTCCTCGGGGCAGTTTCTGGTCCTAAGACTCTGCAGGCCATAGTCAGTGATTTTCAGGACAAAGCGGCTGTCCACCACACAGTTGGACGATTTAAGGTTACCATGGGAGATGATGACGCTGTTGTGGAGAAATGCCATTCCCTGGAGGCAAACAGACAGACAGCTGATTCAGGTGAAAAGTCTGAAGCTCTCTAGAATCGAAACATGAGTCCAACATTGATGTCAGAGACCTCGTTCATACTTTTTCATTTACATGTGTTTTCTGTAACCCCACCCCCCAAGCCAAAGAGACAAGTTTTTACCTTGACAATGTCATTAATGAGAGAGTATCTGAACATCCAGTCCAGTGTGATGCTGTCACTCTCCATCAGGTCCTGAGGGACAGACACACACGCATGTTGGCCATTCAGTCCAAGTGAGGTCCTCAGCAGAGATGGGCAGTAACGCGTTACTGTAATCCGATTACTTTTTTCAAGTAACGAGTAAAGTAAGGGATTACTATTGCAAAAACGGTAATGAGATTACCGTTACATTCCCGTAGTAACGCTGCGTTACTAAAACCGTGATTTTTTTCGAGAAGGTCTCATGACAGCGACGTAAGCGAGTGCGACGTTCGTGACAACAGCTGTGCGCAGATCAACAACGGACAATATATCGAGTGCGGGAGAGAATGTGAGCGTGCAGCGTTTAAAGTGTGGAAGTACTGACCTTACTTTGAGTTTGATTCCATAAAAAGTGACAAACACATTAGCGTCCGTTGTGCGTGGGAAGAAAACTTCTTTTTACAGCGAAAAAATCCCTAAACTTCCAAACAAGCACCGAGTGCACAACGACGTAATGGGAAACTCACAGAGAAACTCGCGGATTCTTCAACTGACCACGGCACACCTGCACCAGGGTAAACCTCCGCCTACCCCAGTCCTGCTTTACAGGTGAAAATAGAGCAACAGGACCGCTGAGTCTTTGACTTTATTTATTTTCTGCTCTGCTTTACTTGCATCTATTTGAAAGAGTGAGTGTAAACACACACAAAAAAATTATTTTATGTGCTGGAATGTGCAGAAAATAGGTTTAAATATTAAACAAATTTCTTCCAGTCAGAGAATGTTGCATATAATTAAATTTTTGCTTGATGCATAAAGTTAAAAGATTAAAACTAACAAAACAAGTTTTAAAAAGAAACTTTTCCATTTGATTACATTTTGTATGATGGATTATGCAGAAAAAGTAGAATTGGGCTGAAAGATCTATCACTTTATTACCTCTTCAGGTTGTAAATCGTGTTTTTAAAAAGTAACTAAGTAACTAAGTAATTAATTACTTTTGAAAATAAGTAATCAGTAAAGTAACTGGATTACTTTTTTGGGGAAGTAATCAGTAATTAGTTACTGATTACTCTTTTCAAGTAACTTGACCAACACTGGTCCTCAGTGACAGACACTGAGGACACTTTTGCTCTGCGAGGACATTTCTGTGCATGGTTAAAATTGTGTACTGAATACTGAATCACTCAGCAGAGTAATGGTGTCTTTGCTTGTGACTATCTGTAAGCAGCAGCTTCAGCTGATATTTGATATTCATTCTTCCTCCCCACACTAAAAGCATCATCCTCATCTCAGAGCACAAACTCAAAATAACTCAAACCGCCTGAGTTGCTCTGTGTTAGGATGACAGCCCTGACATCCAGCGGTCATCTGACAACAACCCAAACCCCCACACGGCCCACATCAACCTTTGCATGTTGCTAGGTTACTGTGCTGGGAGGTTGCTATGCTACAGTGCTGACAGATAACTGTAGCTGAGAGGAGAGAGAACATCTGAAACACAAAAAACATCTCATATGAAAAAATGTAAGGAATGAACGAGCAGAGGATGGCTGCAGTGCTACCTCCTGACTGTAGAAACCACTGCATCATTTAGGTATCTTAATGCCTAACCAGCTTTCAACTGCTCCCGTATTAACACGAGCTCCACACAGCAGCCATCTCCATGTTTGATGTCAGAGTTTGCATCCAAAGAGCTGTCGCGATCTAACCAAAGTAAACTGAGGATGTGGACAAGGTGTGCAGTTATATTATTTGGAAATATTGTTCTGACTTTTTGCAATATTTCTAATCTGTATAAAGTAAAACTGGACCAGGGTTTTGACATGCAAGCTGAAAGTGTCGATGAAAAATAATGCACAGATTTCTAGCAAAACATTAGCTGGGTGTGACGTACCTGAAGGCTGCCTCTTGGACAGTACTCTGTGATGATGCACATGTTCGGCGGGTCAATACAGGCGCCAATGAAGCGGGTCAGGTGTTCATTTTGGACATCTCGCATCTACAAAAACACAGAGGCTGCTACTTTAAATCCTATCATGCTCTACAAACAAAATGGGTAGATTGGTAGGTTGAGATCATTTAGGAGGTTAGATCGGATAGGTGTATACACACACTCACACACACACACACACACACACACACACACACACACACACACACTCACACACACACACACACACACACATATATATATATATGCATGCAGGTAGGTAAGGTTTTCAGTCTATAGCAAGTCGCTAGGCTATTATTTCATTTGCTACAAATACAAAAGCTCAACATCCTGCAAGAAGACCTATAAGCTAGGTCAGTCAGGTACAGTGTTAGCTGGTAGGTTAGTGGGCAGATAGTTCTTACATGCTTCAGTTCAAACAGAACCTTCCGGGTCAGTTCGATGCGTTTCTTGTTGATGTATTTGATAGCTGCCAAGTTTCCCTGCAGGAGACACAGTGAACCAGATTACCACTTGACACCATCTTGTTAGAGGAACATGTGATGGGACTGTCAGCGTCTGTCAGACCTTGTAGTATCCGGTTTTAGTGTAGATCTGAAAGTTTCCCTCCATGGTCATCAGAGAACCATAGTTGGATCCTTTCTGCAGACACAAGCACAAACAATCGAGACACTCGGCTTTTTTTCAATGAAGAGTGTAGGTCCTGGATAACATGCAGCACTACCATACGGAGGAAACTTTTTTCCTCATGTTTTGCATGGGTGGTCCAGCCCAGTAGTTACTAATTAATAGAGTAATCAGCATCACAGTGAATAATTATATAATATATAACATAATATATATTATATAAAGAAAAGAAAACCAGGTTTATGGTTTGAAGGAGACTTCAATTATCTTTTTTTTGCACAACTCTACTATACAATGAAGAATTTAGGAAAATGATTTAATTCAATGTGAACAAATCAGTCAGTCAGCTGATCCAGGCCCAGAGAGCTTCCGGTGTAGCCGGGAATTCCAGAAAGGGAAAAATAGAAATCCAGTTGAAGGCTTCCTGTTCCATCTGTTAGTCATTGTTTACAAATGCAAACACATTTCAGACTATAAACTGAAACTGGAAAATTTCAGGAAGTAAAGACAGGCACTGTATTAGGTATAATATGTTTCCAGTGAGTACGGATGATTTATTTATAGTATAATAACAGCTGTGTTACCAGAGACATGGTGAGCCTGCTGCACGCTCTCCTCAGGACTTTATCCAGGTTGCTCATCTGGACGTCATCCCAGGAAACTCTCCACAGCTGAGCTGCAAGCTCGCTCTCCAGCTTCAGCTTCCTGTTCAGCAGACAGGAAGAGAGTGTGTATATGTGCATATGTGCAAGTGTGTGTGTTGAAATTTGAGGGGAAGGAAAATGGAGAGAAAGCTGATGGAAAGGATAAACAGGCTGAATGAGTTACACAGAGATCTGGTGGGGCGGCTGTGGCTCTGGTGTTAGAACCACTGGAGCACTGGCGTGTGAGCGTGTGTGAAAGTATTAGGTATGGATAAAAGCATTGGATGAATGTCTGCGATTGGGCGGATGAAATTTGTAGTAGAAAGTGCTTTGAGTATGCTTTGAGGATCTCAGTCAGAGATGCTTGGCTTTACACTAGCGTTTGTTCCAGTTAGGATTATGCTCTATAAGTGGAAAAGCAGCCAGACCAGAGCAAGGGAATGACTTCAGCTTATGAACTGATGATAACAAACCTCCGTAACAGTAGAGTCTCACCTGCCTGTATGGAGTCAGTTTTTGAATTTGAGTGCATGAGTGAGCTTCTTGTCAGTTTTATGCTTTGTTCATTTTCACTTTCAATGACTCAAAATCAAATCAGGGTTTTCTTTGTTGAAGTCAGATGAGGATTTCTCCTTCGAGCCTTCCTTTCTTTCTGGGCCTGATGTGCAGCATGAGTGTAATGATTTAAACTGAGATCTGCCGGGGTCGCAATGGGGTCATACGTCCAGTTTTCATACTCAGTACAGAGATACAAACATGTTTGGCTCACCTGTAGATGAAGATGGTGACAGTAACGATGATGACAAAGACAAAGCAGATCACCATTGCAACCATCTGATGCATAGCAACTGTACCTAAAAGATGAGACAGGAAGAAAATCCATTACTGTTTGCAGGAGTGAGGACCAGTTTGAGCTCTTTTGCTCTGGGTGAAGCGGTTTTCAGTCCATGGGGCTTAACATGTGTTATAAGCAAAGATGGGCAGTAAGGCATACTTTTTTAAAGTAACAAGTAAAGTAAGGGATTACTATTGCAAAAAAGTAATTAGATTACTCTTACTTCTTTCCCATAAGCATGCTGCATTACTAAACAGTGATTTTGTTTGTGAGAGTGTCTCATGACAATGACGTACAAGTGTGTGACGTCTGTGGCAGCCACAGACGTGTGTAGATCAACAATGGATAATATGGAGTGTGGGAGAGAGTATGTGCAGCGTTTAAAGCTTGGAAGTACTGACATTACTTTGAGTTTGATTCCATAAAAAGTGACCAAAACATTAGTGTCTGCTGTACACTCTGCGTGGGAATAAAACTTCCTTCTACAGTGAAAAATTACATTTCAAAATTTCAGCAAGCACCTAGCACGCTGCCATGGGAACGTAAAATTCACAGAGAAACCCCCCGGATCCCCCCACTGACATGACCGCTGTGGCACCAGGCAAACCTCCACCGGCCCTGCTTCTGCTAATCAGCTGAAAATAGAATTAGTGCTGCTGAATCTTAGATTTCATTTATTTTTTGCTGTGTTTTACTTGCATCTATTTGAAAGAGCAAGTGTAATATGCTGGAATACGCAGAAAACAGGTTTAACTGTTAAACAAATTTCTTCAAGTCAAAGACTGTTCCATATAATTTCATTTTAAACTTTATGCACATTGCATCAAGCAAAAGATAAATACTAATAAAAACAAGTTTCAAAAAGAGACTTTTTCATTTGATTCAATTGTATATGATGGATTATGCAGAAAAAAATGCTGATGTTTAGGCTTCAAAATGTGACGTTTTTGTGACGTAGCCTGTGATCTGCAGTTTAGCAATGTCACAATACCAGAAATGTAGGTACGAATCATTAAAATTATATGATTATCAATAGGAAAAAAAATTATCATCCCATGTACTTAAAGATAAACTACTTTAATAAATCAATGGCATCCTGGCAGCAAGCTGTTTCTTTAAAGTGTTAACTATATTTTTTGACAGCACAGAGGCTGAAATGACTGAGTATACTGTTAGTGTTACTTTAAAGTTAGTTCCATTAAGTTACCTTAAGGATGTATAACGTTAGCCATTGCAAAGACCCTTTTGAACATATCAAACTTCACTATAAGCACTATATACAAATGCACTATATAAGAACCAGTCCATGCATTGGTTCTCGTGACATCCTTTGTGCAGTTTGGTCTGTAGTCTGTAGTTGTGCGTTCGTACTTGTGAGACATGCTGGGTTGTTGTTCTTGAAGCCACACTTGGGGATGTCTGGTGGCGGAGAACCTTTGGGCCAGTGGAAGTTTAGACCATTTTGCAGGATGAGCTGCTTTATGCTGCTGTTATACACGCACACCACCTGGGAACATACACACACCACAACTGGTTTCTTCACTTTGTTCAAAGCCTGCAATCTCACTTACTCCCTAACAGTATCGAATAGGGCAGGAGTGGCCAACTCCAGGCCTCGAGGGCTGGTGTCTTGCAGGTTTCAGATGTGTCCTTGATCCATCACAGCTGATTTAAATGGCTAAATTACCTCCTCAACATTTCTTGAAGTTCTCCAGAGGCCTGGTAATGAACTAATCATTTGATTCAGTTGTGATGACCCAGAGTGATATCTAAAACCTGCAGGACACTGGCTCTCGAGGCCTGGAGTTGGCCACCCCTGGAATAGGGTTTATTGGTGTGTCAGGGCCCTGGGTTGGGGACGCAGGGTTTAGAATTTGAACTCTGGTTTGGGGTTAAAGGATGTTCTAAGTTTAATTCTCTGGTGCTGCTACACCAGGCTTGGAGAGTTTTCCTGCCTTGGAGCCAGTGACATCTGGAGTAATTACACTCACCTGCTGCTGATCAGCCTCGTCAAGTGAGTACTACTAACTGGGCGACAGTCAGCACAGGATCGTTGTACAATCAGTTCTCCTGCTAGTGAGGTGAAAGTGTTTCTGTTGGCCAGTTGTTTGGAATATACTTACAGCAGTGTCTCTTGTTTCCAGGTGGATTGAGGAAATGGGTGGAGGGTGCTGGGCACAAGTGTACATAGACACCGAAGAGGGAGCTGGGAACTGACACACGAAGAGAACACGCATTGGGGATTATTGGCACTTTTATTTTTATTTTATTTTTTGTAGGGCTGTCCTGGTTGACACGCCTCTACAATGTTGCGTGGAGATCAGGGGCAGTACCCCTGGACTGGCAGACCGGGGTGGTGGTCCCCATCTTTAAGAAGGGGGACCGGAGGGTGTGTTCCAACTACAGGGGGATCACACTCCTCAGCCTCCCTGGGAAAGTCTACGCCAGGGTGCTGGAAAAGAGAGTCCGCTAGTCGAACCTCGGATACAGGAGGAACAATGCGGTTTTCGTCCTGGTCGCGGAACACTGGACCAGCTCTTTATCCTCTCAAGGATACTTGAGGGTGCATGGGAGTTTGCCCAACCAGTCTACATGTGTTTTGTGGACTTGGAGAAGGCATTCGACCGTGTTCCTCGGGGTGTCCTGTGGGAGCTGTTGGGGGAGTATAGGGTGTCTGGCCCGTTACTACGGGCCATTCGATCCTTATACAACCATTGCAAGAGCTTGGTTCGCTCGTCGGGGTCTCCCCTGACACACTGAACTTTACTCCAGTCGGTTTTACGGTAGCTCTGCAGCCTTTATCGTACCTCTAAGGTGTTACATGACAATGATGACATCAATAGTCTTACCTGGAATTCTCCAGACTCAACATCGGTCATGTCCCACACAGCGAAGTCCATCTCTCTGTCCCCGAACTCGTCCATCTCCACAGGGCCCATCACGCCTGCAGAGACGCCACAGAGCAGATGTTATCTGTTTGTGATCTTGGAGAACACTAACTCTTTTCTCTGTTATTTCTGAGTGTTTGCTTTGCAGCGATGGGGAAATATTTTCACTCAGCTCGGGCACAGTTTGAACTGACGTGAGGTCACGTTAATCTTTTTTTACCATGTTCTGAGAAATGTTTACTTTCACAATCAAATTTATTTATTTGACATATTTTATTGGCACCCTGAATGATGGAAGTCTTTATCTCGCATACCCAAAAGGTCAAAGATCTAGCTTAGACAAACACAAATGTGAACTGAAGCCTGACGGGTTGGTGATGTAATTCTCACATTTCTGCTCCAACATGGAAAAATACTGCGACCACTCTGCAGTCTTCTCAGATCCCTTGACAAACACCAACAACAATAAAAAAAAAAAGGTGGAATGATCACTGACAGAGCGGCTTGTTTACAGGAATAATTCTCCACACTGATTTTGGCTCCTCAGTCAGTCAAACATCTGTCGCTTTTTATTATGCCTGTAGTAATATGTATAAATGCACACAATTGTGTGGAAATCAATCTGCACATTGAAGCATGGCCTCCTCGGGCTCGTGGCTAGTGAAGTCTCTGAGCCAATTAAACTGCATACAGCTCAACAGCCTGCAGGATTTAAACTCGGGTTCACCTTCAATTTAAGGAATCAGTGAAACAGGAGCTTGTTTTCTTCCTGACCATTATCAGGAATGGAGACACTGTGTCACAGCAAACAACAGCAATATACAAGCTCGAGGGGGGAGGGACCTCAAAGAATCAGCCGACCGACCAACCTTTATCAAATAAAAGCTGTCAGATTTTCTGGTTTTACAGTGGTATGGTCATGGTTACTGCAGCCTGCCCCACCCCACTGTTCTGTATGGACATGGAGGGACAAATGAGGATTTTTAAGCTGAAATGGTTCCTCATTTAAAGCCCTGTGGTTCTCCACCCTGTTTGTAATACCACCAAGCAGAGAGAAGAGATTATTGTAAATAAAATGTCATTGTCAACTTTTTTTTTCTTTTACTCAACAGTTTTGTAATAACTGAATATTTTCTGATTAGCTAGAAACAACAATGCTTCTAGTGAAGCACAACAAAGTTAAACAGTGAAGCTAGACTCCAGCACAGCCTCATTTAATGAGTAACTGAGACACAACAAATGTCCATCAGAATTCCCTCATACTCGCTGCATTTTGGCAAAGCTCAGTTACCTGAGACTGTCCTTTAGTGGGCGCGTTATGGTGAAATGCTCTGAAATTTAAAGAAATGTGAATAAACTCACTGAGATGTAATCGTGAGCACCTTTGAGTGCTTTTATGTCTTTCTGTCTGCAAACATGATGAAGGTTAACTTAATGTTTTCTTGGTTCACAATTAACAAAAAGCCTTAGAACATAAACTGCACAATGGAAACTCCAAACAGAAAATCCAACTAAATACAACACATGAGACAAGAGACTAACAAAATAAAACAGGAAGTAACTAAAAGGGGCTATCTCATGCAGCAAAGAGGACTTAACAAGATGCAAGGGACACAGCAGGCAGGATAGAATAGCCCTTTGTTGTCATTGAAAATGTACAATGAAATTGTGGGTGCTCCACATCAACCATGCTGGAGTAAAATATGAATAGTAGACAGCAGGAATAAATAGCAAACAGCTTAAATACATACAATCATGAGGGGTATACACAAAAGGCACACATTACAGAAGAAATTGCAAAAGGCAGTGCAAGGATGCAAATTACTCGGTCTGAAAAGAGTCCACGTGCGAGTGGTCTGAGTGGTGATGGTTACTCAGATGAAGGCTCCGATTGGTGAGGTGAGTGGGCAGGGGTGTGATGTGGGGGATAGTGTTTGTTGACAGTCCGAACAGCCCAGGGGAATATGCTGTTTTTAAGTCTGGAGGTGTGGGACCTGATTGACCTGAAGCACCAACCATAGGGCAGCAGGTCAAACATGTGGTGGGTGGGATGCAAGGCAAGTCATCATGGCCCTGGTTTTTCTGAGACAGGAGGATCTGGCAATGACCTCCAGGGGTGGCAGAAGGCAGCCAATGATTTTTTTGAGTGGTGTTCATTACCTTCTGTGCAACCTTACTGTTCTCAGTAGTGGCCCAAGCATACCAAACACCCAGGCATCAGGCGAGCACGCTCTCCAGTGAGGCATGCTAGGCTAGCAGCAGTTTCTGGTCCAGCTTTTTCTTCCTCAGGACACAGATGAAGTGCAGTTGCTGTTAGGCCTTCTTTACCAGGGTGTTGGTGTTGTGAGTCCAGGTGAAATTGACGGAGATGTGGGTGCCCAGAAACCTGAAGGTGGAGAAAGATTCCACCCGTTCTTCATTTATAATGGGAGGGGAGTAGACCTGTCTGAGCCTCCTGGAGTCCATTATGACTTCTTTGGGATATTCAGCTCAAGGTATTTTCTGAGCACCAGCGCAAAAGAAGGACAGGGGGATATTGAGGTGGTCCAGTTTGTTGGTAAGGATGTCTGGGATCATGGTGAGCTGTAGTCCATGAAAAGTCCTCATGTAGTCCTCGGGTAGTTCTTACTATTCCTAGATGTTTCAGTGCTCTTTGAAAAGTGATGGTTAACGATAACTGATAACTATTAGGGTTGTGCGCAACTAGTCAACTAATAGTTGTTCCTGTTACTAGTCGGTACCAGACATACTAGTCGTTTAATCTAATTGTTTACATTTTCTTTGATGCTTAATGCCAGTAAATTGTTGTATCTTAATGTTATGCAGCCATCTGCCACCAGATGGAAATTTGTTGGTGAGAAACACCAAAACTCCGTTAATCTCGGCCTGATGTTTTCTTAACATTATCATTAGAATGAGATCACGGATCAAAACGGCAGAAATTAGCTTTCTTGCCCAAGGAGTCAACGACTGAGACTGTCCGAGCTGGGGCTCGAACCGGCAACCTTCCGATTACAAGGCGAACGCCCAACTCTTTGAGCCATGATCGCCCCTATATAGTACATGTAACATTCATTTTATCATTTAATAAAATTCATCCAAACGTTTAGTAAAAAATATCAAGTTGAAAAGAGGTTTTTGATCTCAAATTAGTTTTCCAGAAACTGATACTTTTAATAATAATGGATTGGATTAATATAGCGCTTTTCAAGGCACCCAAAGCGCTTTACAATGCCATTATTCACTCACACACACTGGTGGACGGAGTAGGGTAAGTGTCTTGCCCAAGGACACAACGACCAGAACAGAGAGCCCAGGGATCGAACCGGCGACCTTCCGGTTACAGATGCGCTTCCCAAACCCCTGAGCCACGGTCGCCCCTTTTGTACATTGTACCTTGAGTTTAGCCTTTACGTTAGGGCAGCAGGGAAGCCCAGACCTCTTCATCACCACCCCTTCTTCCTGGGAAACATTGAGCCTTTCTCAGGCCAGCCTAGGTGTAATCTCTCCAGCGTGTCCCAGTTCTATGCTGGTATGCTATCCTTATGGCAGGACATTTCTGCCTATAACACCTTGTCCTGGAGATGCCTGCCTCAGCTGGCTCCTTTCAATGTGGAGGATCAGCACCTGTAGTCCCTCCTTAATGACTGAATTCTTCACTCTATACCGAGAGAGAACCCTTCCACCCCACAGACACTTCACCTACTGCCTACTGGTGTTGGCCAGAAGGGCCGATGACGCGATATGGCAGCCTCGCCTCTGTCAGTCTGCCGCAGGGCAGCTGTGGCTACAACTGTAGCTTGCCTCCACCAGTGTGTGAATGGGTGGATGACTGGGTGTGTAAAGCGCTTTGGGGTCCCTAGGTGGGACTAGCAAAAGCGCTATACAAATACAGGCCATTTACCACTTGTATGCGCATAAATAAAAAATAATAAAATTATATCTGTAGTCAAAATGATGTCAGTTAAATTAAAATGAATTTCAGCCAGGCAAGTATCAAAAGACTGCACTTAGCACTTTGTTTTTACTGCACTACAAACCTCTTAATGTGTGTTTCAAGAGAAATAAAATTAAAAGAATATATAGAGAATACAATATTATTCTTTAATGGCAAATACTACATAGGCTTGGTGAAGGTTTGCTTTTTGTTAAAGGTTTATATTCATTTCTACTGTTGTCCTCCTTTCATCTATTAGGATTGTTTACTACCACCCCCTCATTTCCCCTCCCCTTCTTCTGTACCCCCATCCACCATCTCACACACCTCTGACGCAAATGCCCACTGATTGATGGCCGCTGACGGTGTTTCGGTGTATGTTGTGGATAAAAGCTGTTCAATCTAATAAAGAGCACACAGAGCAGCCTGTTTATCAGCACCATCAACACACTCGCATACACACTGAAGAAACACACACCGAAATCACAGTGGGACCTGGGCGTCCCGCTCCTGAGTCTGACTCTGGTTTTGATTATATTAGTGCTGGTTGACATATACGTGATAAATATAAGGACATATCTGTTTCTAAGGTACAGCCCTGTTTCCAAAAAATGCTCATTCCAAATATTAATAAAGTAGATGGTGATCCTTACACATTATTTATAGTCCACACAAAGCACGAGATTAACAGGCCCAGAAAAATAAAACACTGCACAGATTTGGCTGCTTAGTTCCTTAAAAATGTTTTATTGTGGTTACAGATGCATGTGTTGGATTCCATTGGGGGGTTTTTTGTTTGTTTGTTTGTTTTTTGGGGGGGGATAAGTGTTTTTATTTTGATTTATTTATTTACTTACTCTGAACAATCTTTTTAATGTTTTTATTATTCTATGTATATATGTATCATTTTTGTGATTGTGTGGAGGGGTCTGTGTGGTGTAACTGAAAAAAATATCTCCCAAGGGAGACAAATAGTACGGAGCCCCTCTGATGACGTGGTCCAAAAAATAAATAAATTGTGGCCACAAAATACTAATTCGTGCCGTCGAAATAGTATAACGTGCCCACGAAATACTTAATTGTGGCCACGAAATACTATTTCGAGGGCACGAAATAGGTATAACGTGCGCACGAAATGCTAATTTGTGGGCACGAATTGGGTATAACGTGGCAATGAATTACGCATTTGTGGCAACAAAATAGATAACGTGGGCACATCATATTGATACAATTCCTGGACAGCTGCGTAGAGACATAAGCATAAGAGTAGGCTAAACCTATACACCATGGACAGAGACAGTATGATTGAGGTTTTTTTTAGGCTGGGAATGAGCTACAAATGCATTTTGAAAAGCCTGGCAATGCAAGGAACCATTATTACGGAGAGACATTTAAACGGGATATTATGAGCCCAGCTGCTTTACAGACGTAAGTACGACCTGGATGCCGGGATAGATTTTATTGTCAACCAACTGCAAGGGCCTGGGAAGGATCACGGTTATCGGTCAAGTGTTTCGTGCCCACAAATGAGCATTTCTTGCGCACGTTATACCTATTTCGTGCCCTCGAAATAGTATTTTGTGGCCACAATTTATTTATTTTTTGGACCATGTCATCAGAGGGGCTCCGTAAAATAGAGAGACTTTGACTTGTAACAGAAAACAGCACATGGCCGAAGTTTAGCTCGTTTTCCTCTGAGCTGTATCACCTCATCTTTACCTCTCTGAAGAGACAGACTGTTGCAGAGTAAAGCAAGGGGTTTTTATTGTCTTTTCTTTTTGATAAAGCATATTGTTATGATTGGATCACGGGACCCATTAGTTATGCAGTTGGTGCCTTCCTCTGTGTTTCTACGTCAGTCACCTTTTTCACTCACTGTGTTTTTATACACCTCTCTGCATTTAATCATTAGTTATTAATCAGTCTCTGGCTGTCTTCCACAGCATGTCTTGTCCTGTCTTCTGGTTTCTGCCTGTTAAAAGGGAATTTTAAAACTTTCTGTCTTTCATTGAAATTCAACATGATAAGTCTTTGGACTTGTTTCAATTAAATTTGAGACCTGACAGAGTGTAAATGATTACATTGTTTTTAGCAGTCGGCCAAGTCTTTTGGAAACAGGGTTACAAAAATACTACAACAGAAATAGCACTGCGAGGAAACCAGGCTCGAGCTGTTCCAGTTTGAGAATGCAGTTGTAATTTATCCCAGTTTAGACTAGTTTTCAGGACTGACCTAACTGGTTCTTCATGGCAATTAGGAAATGCATAGAAAAACATTTAATTCCACTCCCTCCAACAGACGCTCTGACAGCCGAGTCATTATGGGACATGAAAGCTTGATCCTAAACTGACTGGACCATCGATGGACGTCCTTCCCTGATCCACACCAATCGGCAGCACAGGATGGTAACCCAGTCCCCTCTGGAGAGTTTACGCTGCACATGGACCAACGTGTGTGTGTGTGGTTGTGGGTCAGAGTGCACCAGTGACATGGAAAGAGAACACTGGAGATCAGTGTGTTCACACTGTATATTAAAATAGGATCTAACCATGTTAGCTGATGAAGTGCTAATCTGCTGTGTTCTGTTCCTTTAAGCAGTTTTATTGTTTTTATGTAATTTAAAAAAAAAAATCAATGTCATGTTCAGTGTGTGCTGTAAATGAATGATAAACCAGGAGGAGATTTTTCCTGCCACTATGTTTGCTTGCTTAAAAAAGTCACCCTGAGAGATTCACGTGTAGCGTTGTCTGCACCAGTCAGCAGGCTCACACTGTGCTTCACATCTGACTCACAGCTGCAGACAGTGTTGGGGAGTAACGGAATACATGTACCGCCGTTACGTATTTAAAATACAAAATATGAGTAACTGTATTCCATTGCAGTTACCATTTAAAAAGGTGGTATTCAGAATAGTTACTTTGCTGAAATAAATGGATTACACTGCGGTACTTTCCTGTTTCATATGTTAGGCTGTCCCCTCTCTATTTTTGGTAATTCCACGCCGGTGGAAACCCAAACAAAACACAGAGGCTCTAATGTCTGTGTCTCAATCTAGCGTCTCATAATGACGTGAGGAAATATTTTAAAAAATGATTTAATATGTAGGCAATAAGAGAGTGTTACAGGCATCGCCCTAAAGAATGTAGCCTCTCATGAGCAGTGTAGTCTGGGCTGCAGGGAGAATGGACTGCCATACCCGTTATGTTTCTGTGAGCGCGAGGGAGGGAGAAAAAGGAAAAGTACGAGCTGTCACCGAGCAGAAACGGGAGCTGGAAGCATGTAAATATAATAATAACCACTGCAGCCAAAAAGAGTCCCTGACGAGCCCAGTTGTAAGTAAGCTATTAAGACTCGACTGTACGCTATGTTCGTGTTTTCTCTGAAACAGCAAGTTCCGTTGGAGCAGCCTTTCAATGCCTCTCTCTGTCTCTCGCTAGCAGTCGACCCAGACAACAAAGTAAAGCTAGTTTTCAGCTACGAGCCCGACACGGAGCCCGACGTATTAGTCAGAGGTCCCTTTACTACGGTTCGGAGCCGCGGACCTGTTTTATATACGTACGGAATAGTTTTCTATACGAGATCACTGCAAAAAGTGCAGCCTCACCTAATCTCCACCCTACTATTACTCATTTTATATTAAGACTTAAAAATCTAGTTGTATTCGTATGGCGAGTAACCTTCAGTAATAGTAATAAATCACACAGCAATAGTACATTCATGTAGTTGTAAAAAAGCATGATAATATATGAAGTAATCCAAAGTATTCAGAATACGTTACTCTCATTGAGTAACGTAACGGAATACATTACAAAATACATTTTGGGGCATGTATTCTGTAATCTGTAGTGGGATACATTTTAAAAGTAACCTTCACAACACTGACTGCAGATGAACAGGTTGGCCAGGTCTGTGAAGCCTTTCGTCCTCATTTCTTATGCATTATGAAACTTTATTATACATGACCAACTACACTCTCTCTTATACACACAAATATACACACACAGATCGGATTAGCGCTCATCTCCAGCTGAGTCCTGCTGTTATATCCTGTGGTGGACATTCGTTTTCTACACCTGGACCCCCCCCCAATCATGTTTGTAATCTTCTCCTCTCCTTCCTGTCTGCCCTGCTATCTTTTGCCCAGTCTGTTCTTCTGTTTGAACAGAATAGAATAGAATAGAATAGAAAAGCCCTTTATTGTCACTGTACATGGTACAACGAAATTGTAAGTGCTTCAAATCAACTATGCCGGAATAAAATATAAATCGAAGACAGCAGGAATGAACAGCGAATAGGCGAAATATATACAATCAAGAGCAAAATATACAAAAATAAGAAAGACATTGCAGACTGTTAAAAACACTGGTGGCTTCCTCCCAGTAGGTGCATCTGTGGTATCAGTTTAAAAATCCTAAAATCTTCAGGAAAGTTGATCTTTGGCCTTCAGGTGACCAGAATTTGACCTCCTCTGAGATTTTTAATAGATGCACCTATGGTACCAATTTCAAAATTATTTTGTCACTTTGTTCTCGAGTCATTGCATTCACAAAATCTTTAGTGTCCTCGCCGCCTGTCCTGCATGATGTCAATAATACCCCCATCAAAATGCTGCATTTCTTAAAATGAGCTCTCAACTAAGATCTTTCAGATGTTAGAGAATAATATGAAAATCTTTTTTTTTTTATTGTTTTTGCGCACAAAAGAACAACAGGACATTAACATGCTTTACCCCCTGCAAATTCTTAGATTAATCATAAGCTGGAAAGCTGTTCATTTTCCAGCTTATGATTAATGTCATATTATGGTTCAGGATGACACTGAAGAGACCCTGTCCCTGACCTGTGCACTCAAAGGCCCCGCTTTCTCTATACCTAAATCTGCGAGCACCAACTTACATCTGGAGCATGATAACTGTGTTATCTGTGTGTATTATGAACTGCCAGTGAACACTTTTTAACTAAAAACTTTTACAAACTTTAGACTTTAGATCAATGAATACCATACAGCTTGTTAGAACAAGAGGTGATTCTAGATCAACTGCAGGTGTGAATGTCTCTGTGTGTCAGCCCTGTGACGGACCGGTTATCTGTCCAGGTGCAACCTGTCTCTCGCATTGTGACAGCAGTGTTTTAACTTGAACTACCACTGGAGCCTCAGGCTGGACTTCAGTGACCTGAATCAACTTCTGTTGTCATTGTCGACATTAGCAACATGCATCCACCAACCACAGCTCATAAGGCATTGACAGGGTGATGAGGTGTGTGAAAGTTGTGCAGTTGCGTTTAGCCAGTGGGTGAGCAGGTGACCATATAGCAAGGAGAGCAGCCGACCAGGTTTGAGTCCAATCCTCTCTGTGTCTCCCCACTTTCCTGCCTATCTCCACTGCCACTATCCAATAAAGGCAAATCTAAAACCCAAAGCTTTAGTGTCGGTGTTTCTTTTCACTTGCATTTGATCTGATGTGTTCCTATGTTTCTTCGGCTTTTTCATACAGGGTTGATTGGATTCCTATTCATGTCCAATCTTCAGTCTAAATGAATCCTAATTAAAACTCCAAAATGAGATTTTACTGGGACCCAGTACTGGGTGTCCATGACCTCTACTCTGAGTCCAACAGCATCACACACAGGCAGCCAATCAGAGAGCCACGTGTGGTTTTCCAGTTAGTTAGAGAAGTCTACACCTGTGCTACTTTACTCAGTTACTTGTAGTGCACATGCGATTTTCAGCCCAGTGCTGTGCTCTGATTAGTCACCCGCTGACAAATATCTGTGCTCACCTTTGATTGTCCTGTTCCACATCCTCCGGGTCACCTCATCTCCTCTGGGCCTCTGGACTGGTCCCAGTATTGGTCCCAGTCCTGGTCCTTGCAAATTCAGGGTCTCGTTCAGAGCATGAGCGTACAGTATCACCCCGTCGTAGAACCCTCCGGCAATCAGGTTGTACTGAGGGGACAAAGCATGTGATTGTTATAGATGAATATCAGTCTCTCACATATTTGAATAAAAATTTGAAATATCAGATTCAGTTAATCAATAAGGATTGTTATTTGTACCATAGAGTCTCTGATGGTGAAGTTGAACATCGCCTTTGCGTCTTTTTTCAGAGTTTTAACAAACTGAAGATATTCGGGATTCTGGGGCTGCAGATACGTCAGCACTTTCACACTCTGACGAAATCAATAACAAGCTAATCAATTGACCGGATCACTTTACATCAGTGAGCATCCTTTAAAATTTAACAATGAAAGAGCATCTTGTCTCACCCTGAAAGCATTGCGAGCCGCATAGTCCTCCTGGTCTCCTCTGAACCAGGGCCTGATGGGAGCGCTCCCGTCCAGACCCTCAGCAAAAAGATCAATGAAGAAGAAGACATAGTCCTCCAGCTCCACCCCTTCCTTCCAGAATTGGACCATCAACGTCCTGAAGATGTCCCAGGAGCAGCACATGTACACAACTGAAGACAAAGAAGCAGCAATGTTATTCCATAAAGGAAAGGAACAGAGACAGCTGCCAACGCTTGATGGTAAATCTTTATTACACACACCATGTGTGCTTCATGGTGTGACCTGCGTGGAAGCCTGGATAACAAAAGCCCCATTCCAGCTCATCAACAAGACTTCTCAATTTCCATGACCAATACTTTTCATCAATGACCATTTTTCTGATGAAAAAAAATAAATGTAATGGCAACCACCAGTGCTACCCCTCAGTCTCATAGTACACACACCTGTGCTTTAAGTTTGATACTCCAGAAGAGTCCTTCTCGAGGGTTGGGAATCAAGAACTGGTTCTTGTAGGAAACTGGTTCCCAGTAGTCCAATTCTTTGGAACTGTTAGTTTGCCTGCCTATCGATCCTACGTATCTGTTCTTGCACTCACACTACAATCAGCTGATTTCAGTTAAGGTGTCAGAGAGGGAAAATAATGACGTAGTCACATTTATTTTTTTTTGCACTAAAGGATGGAATAAATGGTAAAGTGGATCTCTGCATGCATGACAGAAACAACCGCATTATGCTGCTAACATAACATTGGTTCTTTGTAAGCATCTGCCCAGACAGCATGCTATTGCTAAGCCCGCCAACAACCCAGGGTGAATGCCAACCCCAGCAGCCAGACCCTTAACTTCAACATGTAAAAAAAAAAAAAAGATGAGCTGCAGCCTCCCTTTCTACCTGTTCACATTTCATGTTTTTGTGCTGGTTCGGTGTGAGATTGTAGCCTCTCAAGTTTATATTGTTAAATTGTGATTATGAGTGTTTCAGCTATTTTACAGAGTAATATGAAAGTAATGTAACGAGCAGTATAACAAATTACTTTCTCCTGGGAGTAATTAGCGTTCGATACTGTAGACCATAATATCCTATTAGAGCGATTAGAACATGCTGTAGGTATTACAGGTACTGCACTGCAGTGGTTTGTATCATATCTATCTAATAGACTCCAATTTGTTCATGTAAATGGAGAGTCCTCTTCACACACTGAGGTTAATTATGGAGTTCCACAGAGTTCGGTGCTAGGACCAATTCTGTTTACATTATACATGCTTCCCTTAGGCAGTATCATTAGAAGACATAGCATACATTTTCACTGCTATGCAGATGACACCCAGCTCTATCTGTCCATGAAGCCAGATCACACACACCAATTAGTTAAACTGCAGGAATGTCTTAAAGACATAAAGACCTGGATGGCCGCTAACTTTCTGCTTCTTAATTCAGATAAAACTGAGGTTATTGTACTCGGCCCTGAAAATCTTAGAAATGTGGTATCTAACCAGATTCTTACTCTGGATGGCATTACCTTGGCCACCAGTAACGCTGTGAGGAACCTTGGAGTCATTTTTGACCAGGACATGTCCTTCAATGCACATATTAAACAAATATGTAAGAATGCGTTCTTACATTTGCGCAACATCTGTAAAATTAGAAATATCCTGTCTCAGAGTGACGCTGAAAAACTAGTTCATGCATTTATTACTTCCAGGCTGGACTACTGTAATTCATTATTATCAGGATGTCCAAAAAACTCACTGAAAAGCCTTCAGCTAATCCAAAATGCTGCAGCAAGAGTACTGACAGGGACTAGAAAGAGAGAGCATATTTCTCCTGTTTTGGCTTCCCTTCATTGGCTTCCTGTTAAATCCAGAATTGAATTCAAAATCCTGCTCCTCACATACAAGGTCTTAAATAATCAGGCCCCATCTTATCTTAATGACCTTGTAGTACCATATCACCCTATTAGAGCACTTCGCTCTCGCTCTGCAGGCCTACTTGTTGTTCCTAGAGTATTTAAAAGTAGAATGGGAGGGAGAGCCTTCAGTTTTCAGGCCCCTCTTCTGTGGAACCAGCTTCCAGTTTGGATTCAGGAGACAGACACTATCTCTACTTTCAAGATTAGGCTTAAAACTTTCCTTTTTGCTAAAGCATATAGTTAGGGCTGGACCAGGTGACCCTGAATCCTCTCTTAGTTATGCTGCAATAGACGTAGGCTGCCGGGGATTCCCATGATTAGGGATGGGTACCGGTGTCCGGTGCCATCATAAACGGTAGTAACCAGACCGAAAAGCAGCGCACATTTCGGTGCTTTATTTCGGTGCTTTTTTTTCCTGAGCTGTGATACACTTTAGATTCTAGCCAATCATTTTACGTTTCCGAGGATAGTAGGCGGGGCCAGGTACGTAGTTCTGTTAGAGCAGAGCTACAGATTAAAAATGTCCAAGGCGAAGCGGTCAGAAGTCTGGCTGTACTTCACAGCAAAAGATGCAAACTCAGCAGCAACAAGTGCTTTAAGCTGATACTGTGATACTGTCAAAGGAGGTAACACCTCAAATCCGATGAAACACCTGGCGACGTATAGCGTTTTTTTTTAAAAGCCCAGAAATGCGCCGTATTTGATAGCTTGCTGCGAGACCTCACACCGAGCACATCTACTGTGGGTGGGTTGCCTGTTATGCAACATCCCCCAAAAACACAAAGAGGAGAGTCCTGGCCCCTAGCCCTGCCAGTGTAGCAGAAATGATGACGGATGATGGTGGCAGCAGCCGTTCTTCTCTGCGTGAGTAGCTAATTTACGTTGAGTAGGCTAACCACGTTATTACATTAATGCATGTAAGGTGAACTAGCAAACATCATCATAGCTACATGCGGCTGTCCTCTTGTTTGATGGCAGATACTCCCTTCACCCTGGCTAAAAAGGCTAAAATGACCAAAGAAAACAGTTAAACATGAGAGGTTTTTGGACAAAGTTTGTGTTTTTTCCATTGTTTAAGCACTGCTTCCAGCCAAGAGTGATACCATATATGCCCCATAGCTGCAGAAAAGGCTAACATTGTTATATTTTTACAAAAAACAGCTGAACATGAGAGGTTTTTGGACCAATTTTGTGTTCTCCATTCTTTAAGCACCGGTTTGAGCACCGTTTGAGCACCGGCACCGTTTCAAAAGTACCGATTTGGCACCGGTATCGGATAAAACCTAAACGATACCCATCCCTACCCATGATGCATTGAGTTTTTCCTTTCCAATCACCTTTCTCACTCACTATGTGTTAACAGACCTCTCTGCATTGAATAATATCTGTTATTAACCTCTGTCTCTCTTCCACAGCATGTCTTTTATCCCGTCTTCCTTCTCTCACCCCAACCGGTCGCAGCAGATGGCCCCGCCCCTCCCTGAGTCTGGTTCTGCCGGAGGTTTCTTCCTGTTAAAAGGGAGTTTTTCCTTCCCACTGTCGCCAAAGTGCTTGCTCATAGGGGGTCATATGATTGTTGGGTTTTTCTCTGTATCTATGAAGCGCCTTGAGGCGACTTATGTTGTGATTTGGCGCTATATAAATAAAATTGAATTGAATTGAATTGAATTAAGTAACATACTGCATTAGTTTTAAGAAAGGTGTTCTGTGTAATATGAGTAATAATGGCCTTTTTAAGTAACAACACTGCTCATATCAAAGAGGGGAAAAACCTCAACAAACATGCACAAACATTTGATCGACAGCATGCTATTAATTTGCATGAGCCTAATTTCTTTATTGCTGGTGGTGACTCTCAAAATGGAGCCAATGAGATAAGATGAGATAAGATGATTGATAAAAGAATCGATAATGGAATCTGAATCGATAAATTCTTATCAATTCCCATCCCAATTCTCGAGTTATCACATTCACAAGATTTTCAGAAAACTTGACCTCTGACCCTTGACCTTTAGGTTGAGGTCACTGAGATGTGAACTCATCCGAGATTTAATTCTCAAGGTATCGCATTCACAAACTTAGTCCACACCTCCTGCGCACCCTGTGGGGTGATTCTAGAGATGGAAGATCCAATCAGAGCTAATTAAGTTGCGTAGAAAGGCGGGACGAGTTTGAATGCAATCCAATCAGAAAAAGAATCTCCTTGTACAGTAAGGTTAGGTGCAGTCATTTGATGAAAATCTCAATTCTTGAGAGGAAGAGAAGAGCAGACATATGGACAAATTTCAAATATTATATCAATTTGTAAACCATGTGGAGCAACTCTCACTGCTAAAAACAACTCCTCAAACTTTAGATTTTAGTCACTGAATCAGCTTTAGATATAGTCTGCTATAATCTTATGATATATAGTCAACCAGAATTACCTTAAATCTAAGAAAAAACTGAGATGCCTAAATTAAGACTAAAATTAAATTGAAGTTTGGAGCCAAAGTCCAAGACTACAGCACCTGTCATGTCTCAAATCCTGCTGCTCATGTGCGAAATCTGACCTGTGGTGACAGATTTAAGCATGCAGATGTTAGGGACAGCCCAGAGCTGGTAACGTCCTCCTCTTCTTAGCAGACCCACATGTGTCCTTTCATGGGACAGATTTGGGCAGGAATAGAAATAAAGACAGATTCAATAAACTCTTCAAAGTTCATTTTCCTCAGAAAGGCTTTGCGCAACCTTTTTGTTGCAAACGTCTCAAAAAACCTAATTTGTTATAAAAAAAATTAAATGAAATTAAAAAATAACACCCACACAACTTTCTGTAGCTCTTTCACCTTTCATAACCAGTCTTGGATTCATCTTCTAAAATCTGAAATCACATCTCATCATACCAAAGCAGCAGTCCATGACCCAGGCAGCACCTTTGAGAAGCAGAAAGGACAGAGCAAGCACCTCTCTGAAGTCAAAAAACTGAGATGTGTAAACATTACCCCATTATTTTGGGGTAATATTATTTGGGTGCGTGGCCTCTTTGACTGACAGGTGGATAGTGACACAGGCAGCTGGAGCTGCTAGCTGTCTGTTAGGATTCACCAGAACTGGACCTCTGGACCATTTTTGTGCTTAAGAGACATTTTAACTTTCAACTTACTTTAACTTTAACTTACTTACTAACTTACTTAATTTTGTATTTGCTGTTTGGTCAAGTGTGTAAGACGGATAAACACTGGAACAGCCTGTCAACACGTAGAAAAAAGAAGCCAGTTTCCTTTTGTTTCCCTCCCCACCATTGTTGGGTTTGAATCGCTACATTTGGGCGCACACTGAGGAGGGTTCATTTGCTCGCAGCTGGAAGACGCTGCCGTTAAAACAGCCCTATTATTTTTTCCGTTGGCTGCTTCTTTTAGCTTCAACCAACATTAGTAGCTAACTTACTCATGGGCAAATAAATAAATAAATAAATAAATAGCTCTAGTAAAAACGATCAGTGAAAAACTCAGCCTATTGTTGATGGTCGATATTCGTCCAATCGCCCAACCTTACCATCCATCCATACATTTTCTTCCGCAATTGCGCAGTGACAGGGCTAACACACAGACAGCCAATCATTCACACTCACATTCACGCCTATGTGCAATTTAGAATCACCAATTAACCTGACCTCACTGAATCCCACTGAACTGAAAGTTTTTTTAATGAAAAAATATTGTGATGTCAATTCTTTATAGCCCATACCACATTTAAACAACAGAAGCTGACCCAAAGTCCTTTAAAGACAGGCATATTTACATTCCAGGTCTCTAAAAAAATCCCAAATCAACATATAAAAAACTGTGTTAACTAATTATTGTGGATAGCTAAAATCATGGTGTTCATTAAAATGTGTTCAGAATTTGGCAAATGTACAATGATTCAGTTCATAAATGACTATCAGCTAGCACTGGCTGATAACTTAGCATGCCACTCTCTCCTGGTCATTTCCTGAAATAATAAACCAACATGGATGGTGCTTAGTGAACTCTTGGTTGGCTATCCGTCGTTTATATACTTCTTTCTCACCACTCCCACACTGTTGTGGGGTATTGTTGGGGTTCCTGATAAAAAACTGATGAGAACTTCATGGTCTGAATTTATTTTTTTCTCCAGAGAAATCAAGAATAAATGTGGGATGAGAAAAACAAAAACACCCCCCATCCCCCACCTTGCTATAACAGAGCCTGAAAATAATCAACTGTCAGAGAAAAAAGACAAATACCACCACCACCCAACCCCCTTCTGTCCACACAGTCCCCAAGGTGGACAAAAAAATGTGAATACTGAGAATTTCACATGCGAAAGGCAGAAAGTCACATGTTGGTTTGTCTGCAGCCAAAAGTGCTTTTAATGGAAGCAGAAAAGAAAACAGGACTGACTGATTAATGCTGACACACACACACACACACACACACACACACACAAACATTATGAACACAAGCGTGCTCATAATGTTTCTCCATGTAGTGTCCAATGGTGGGTGTGGGTTCAGAGGTAATTACTAGGACGTCCATGTTGCTGGGTGCAGCAGCTGGCGTTGGTTAAAGGACGATAGTGTGTCTGTGATGATGTCATCATGTCACACAGCTCTGATCTCATGATCTAATTCACACTGTGACATCAGCGGGCGATGCAGGTCACTGCAAACATTTTCACGCCATCAGAGCAGCGTTTCAGTGATGCTTACAATAAAAACGTGCTGACGGCGAGGAGCAGAAACACAGCAAACAGGCTCACTTCTGCTTCTTCTTCTGTACTAAATTACAGACTGATTGTTTACATGTGTGTTCAGCAAACACACACACAGACACACATTTGTTTTCTGTACTTGTAGACCCTCACTCACATCATTACCCACAAACTGAACCTGATATCATGCAAAGCATTTCCAGCTCCAGCTGTGTTTCAGTCACCTTCAGCAGCCAGTGCTGCCCAAACACCATGAACACGCTTGTCATTGATTGAAGACTAAGCTAAATGACTGACACTTCCAGTCTGACCACCGCTGACTGCAAATCAAAGTCCAAAGCAGCTAATTTCCATTAATAAGTTAGAGACTGAAAATATAATTTTCCTCTAAAATGACGTTTGAACTGTCACGCGGAGGTCCCCACAGGACTGTCCCCACTCCAAGGTCTTAAAATGAAATTACTCCTCACAAACATGTAGGAGCACCCAAACACACAGAGGTGAAGTCAGTCATTAACCAGTGAGGATAAAAATCTCAGAATAATTAACCATCATTTAACAAGGAGAACAACAATAAGGCAGGGAGGAAAGGAAAGGAGGAAGGAGGAGTGTCATGAAGGAAAAACAATCAGTGACACGAGAGCAAATGAAGCATCTGACCACAGCTTTTCATCTGATGAAAGAATGAAAGAACAAAGAATGAAAAGAAAAAAACTCAGTTAAGGAAGGAAGCAAAAAGGAAAACTGGAAAATAAAAGAACAAAATGAATGAAGAAAATAATGCTAAATCAGTTGAAATGTCTGAAGAAGAAATGAAAAAGAAGCAAGGCTGGAGGAGTTGAAACTGGGCAACAAAAGCAGCTGAAAAGCCATCTTCCCCAAGATCATGGATCACCTCGGCTAAAAGGAATGGCATGAAGGAGAGAACGTAAAAGAATAAGTAACCTTGAGATGTCTGCTCTTAAAGAGTGAACAGAAACAGCGTAGCTTTTACGCAGTTAATTTTAGAGAAAAGGACGAACAGAAAGCAGTGGGATGAGGACAACAACAACTGTTAAAACATGAGGAATGAAAGCAGCAGAAGAAGAATATGACCTCGGCCATTGTCACGGATATCCTGGACCATCGACTTGTAGTTGACGTCGCCCTGGATGACGTGGTCGTGGACAGTGATGTTACGTTTGCCCAGCAGCTCATACAGCCCCTCCACAGCGAAGTAGCACAGCGGATCATCATTGGCGTCCCTGTTGTCACTGAAGATGACCGTGGCGTGCCGCTGCCAGCCAAACATCTCCTGGATCCTGACACCAAACTCACCCAGCTTTTTGTGAGTGGGGCCCGTGTTGGTGACCGCAGCGTACAAATTGAAGCCGATTGCTCGGGCACCAGCTGTCACCATGGGAACATCCCAGTGGGTGGTAAAGCGGGCAACAGGTGAGGATGAGTAGTCGCAGCCGGGTCCAATGAAGGCCCAGGGGTCGTGGGACAGCTTGAGGTCGACGGCTACAAGCGGCGCTATGGAGTCTGAGCAAAAGCCGTCGCGGCTCTCTGAGCTGCCATAAACTAGCCGCAGCTTCAGACCTGGTAGCAACCAGGGGTCAGAGTTCACCTGCTGTAATGCCTGGTAGATGGCGGGCGCAACCCGAGGCCATGCCCATGCATAGTTAGTGTTAGTCAGAGGCAAGATGGCTGCCAGGGTGACCTCCTGAAGGTCCTCCGTTCTGTTGTCAGCAGTTAGAGAGGTTGCAGCTGATTGGGCAGGAAGAAGGACCAGGAAGAGCAAGGGACAGGCCCAGGGCAGCATGATGAAGAGGCGTTAATAGCCTGTCAGACGAGCTGTGGGGAAAATATAACACAGTGTTAATCAGCGTGTCCTGTAGAGAAAATTCAAAACAAACCTTTATTCATCAGAACAGCTACTGAAACTTGAAGCTGCTGGGAATTCTGGAAAGTCTGTGCGAGTTTCCGTGTGGGATCATTGAGTGGGATCTATCCATCCTTCACGTGGCCATGTGTTTGCAGACATGAAGCTGAAGTCCTCCACTGGGCCGGTCCAAGATAATTGCTTGTTAAACAGCAGCCTGACCATGTTTACCGTTTGATTAATGAGTAATGTGAGTGACAATTAGATCTAATCTGCTGCTGTGAGAGTCAGTGAAGCAGTCACGCTCTTACAGTCCATCTGTTCCTGGTAACACAGAGCCGTAAAACCGAACAGAGGTGAATGATAAGAGTAAGGTGTGAGGGAAAGGCCAACTAAAGAGTGAAGAGAGAACACATCAGAGTTCAGGGTCCTCTGAATAAAATGAGTTGTTCTCTTTAAAAGCTAAACGAACGCATGGGAGAAGTCTGACTGCATGTTAGGGTTAAGGTTTCATCAAACTCCAAATCCTCCCCGGCTTCCTAGTCCCTTTTGATCAGAGCTGCAGAGCTATGTGACTCCTTTCAACAGACCACAGAGTTAATCTGAACATCTTCATCAGCTTCTTCCTCACATTTTTCTGCTCTACCTGGGTTTCCTTTGTCATCTTTCTCTGTACCTCATTTATACAGTCCTGTGATAGGGTAACACCTGCGTGAGGAAGCAGATGTGCACGGTTTATCCATTAGTTTCCATAATAAAAGCCTCACTGACATATGGACATACAGTTTCTGTACTGCAAAGCTAACAGGGCTTTTAATTTGAAATAAATGCAGAAAATGTTGAGTTGAGTCACTTTAACAAGGTAGGAGAGAATTAAAAATACTAAAACAGGTCTAATTCATCCCATAAAATACAAGGAATGAGGTAAGCAGAGGTCAAAGACAACACAATGTTAATGGTGACAGCATTAGTTCATCAGCTGTTCCAAACAACGAAGGATCCTTTTCTCGTCTTCTCATCTTTAACAGTTAGCGAACAAAGAAGAGAGAAACAAAACTGAGGTCACGGTGAAGTTTGAAGCCAGGTGGTGTGGCTCCATGACTGGAATCAGTCCACTCGCATTATAGCAACTTGACAGCTCGGATCATTTCATTTGACTTAATTGGCTCTCTTTCATCAAATGCACTCCAGGGATGACTGAATTTCAAGGAGAATGAATAAACAAGCTCCAAAATATGTACCTGATGTTTTATTCAGTAAGAATTGAAACCAGGTCTGCCAGTCCAGGGTGAAAGAAAATGGATGGATGGACGGATGGATTTAAAACTAGGGACTGAGATCATGAACTCATCAGGAAAGTGTGTACTGAGCTCGGCGATCAAGTGAGGAGTGGGCTCATTTTCCCCTAGACTTCTGTATAATCAGACCAAAGCAGTTGCACCCTGCTGGACATTAGAGTGCTTCTGCATTGGCGTCAAGCTTCAGATGCAGTACCAGTATCTGCACCAGGGATGTCAAACGCTTTATTCCGGAGCCACTTACCATTCAAATTCATCAGCTGTGCTGGTTGAGTAAAACCACTCCCTAATAACTCTTGATGCATGCTCAATCATCTGGACATAGTTTTATTAGTGGGAGAAACGTTTCATCACTCATCCAAGTGACTTCTTCAGTCTCAGCTGTAGGTTTCCCCAATCTTTTAAACAGTACATTTGCATAATGACTCAAACTAACTCCACTGGTGAACAATGGGCTGTAAGGTCAGTTTCTTGACGAGCTGAACAAGAGTGACAAAATGTTTCTCCCACTGAAAATGCTACGCCCAGATCAACAGAATTGGGCTCTCCCTAATAACTTTGAAATCTCCTTTATTTCATTTTCTTTAAGTAAAGGGTTATGGTTGTTATGGTGATGTTAATTTGCCTATGATTCCACACATTTAGAGTACAGATGATCTGGTCTCTTCGGCTTTCAGCCTACATGACTCACACCTGTTGTTGAGCTGTTGACCAAAATGTAGGTCCCACTTTAAACTCAAGAATCCATCAAAACGCCCTCACATCCCAGTTTTGAAATGCAGCGTGTGTTTCTGGGTCTGTCCAAATGGTGGGAGGTAGCGCAAAGTAATATGATGTGTGGTCTTGAAATGCGTGCATAGCTTCTCTGTATGTGGAAACAAAATCAGACTTTAATCATCCCATTTCTCCGCATATATGAGCGCATGAATAAATCTCTGACAGCAGGCTGCTGTGAAAAAAGGCAGCAGGAAATCTGACAGGAAGAAGAAGTATAGGCCAACTTCAGTCAGGCTGAAGTGTCTTTAACACATCAGGATTTTTGATGCTGATTAAAACTTTACTGTCCAGAGATGGAGGTAAAACACACTCAGCCACCCGGTCTGTGTGTGTGTGCCATTGTTGTATATAAGTGTTGTTGCAACATCAGTGAGACTCAAACACATCACTCACGGAACAAAAAGCTGTCAGCACTCAGGTCTGTTTCTAAACTTTCAGCTTCTTTAGGATCAGGATCTGTGCACACATCAAACCTCATACAAAAAAATACACTTTCTCACTTTCATTCTGAGGTGACTGTCCATCTGACCATTGAGTGTCTGTGTGTCCGTCTGTGTGCTTCACATATCATTTTTATTATTATTAATAATACTATTGTTATGTAAAACAGTCAATGATATCGTGGATGTCAAATGCATCATTCTCGCGATCGATTATGAATATTTTGTCCCCTCATGCCCATCCAGTCTCTCAGATGATCGCCCTTCCCTCAGCCTGGTTCTACCGGAGGTTTCTTTCTGTTCAAAGGGAGTTTTTCCTTTCCAGTGTCGCCAAGTGCTTAATGGTTGCTGGCTTTCACTGTTTTGTTGCTGTTGTGATTTGGCGATGTATAAATCAAGTTGAACTGAATGTATTCTTAATGTGGGCTGTTTTGTCTGAAGGCAGATAGACTTCGGTTAAAATGAAGAAGGAAAATCAGAGTCTTCGTTCATTTGAAAGCGTAACCAGGACAGAGACTAAGAAAAGAACTAAAAATAACTTTATGCTAACTGCTTATTAACTCGCGGCGCCTTTCTCCTGTGTAAGTTCATCAATAGAGGAGCGGCTGACGTTGTTTTACCTGTTCGGCGCTCAGCGCATCTCCGTGTGTCCGCAGAACGACATCCAGCTGTTTTCAGCGGCAGCTCGTGCGGAGGAGGAAGCCTCGTGAACACTCGGTGGGAACTCTGTCTCACCGGAGGCTCACCGGAGGCTCGCGCCCCGCTGCTGCCGGCGCGTTTCCGCTTCTCCGCGCTCACAAACCATCCCGGTGATAATCCAGCCTCCCGCCGTGCGCGCACACTGAGGGGGTGTGGAGGGTAAGAGGGCAGTCCTGAAAACGCGAACTGAAGCGCGTGCTTGAACCTACGTGTATTCAGTTACCAAATTGACACAGGCTATATATGTGTTGCTCGCAGTACTCCCTCCTCGCCGTGCTCTGCGCATAGGTAGGCCTGATAGGCTGAAATATTACTTTTAATCAAAAACTTTATATAAATAAGCTGCTCTGCGACGTGAGCATGTGGATATGGAGCCCCCTGGTGGCTGTCTGCAGCTATGACAAAACGTCCGTCAGTTGGTTTTATTGATTGGATACCGGCACTAGTCAGTTGATTAGTTAGATTGAACCCCGAGTAAAATGACTGAGGTTGAGGGTGATTATGGATTATAGACAGATGATTGTGATTCTTCCTTCCGCTCAGTAAAAGTTCAACTTTCATAGAATTATCTAACATCAGTTAAGTTAAATGATTGATCAGTTTCTCATCAAACTTCCAGCATCTCTGAACTCACTGCTGACCTTTGACCTCTTTGCAAGGAGAGATTTTAGATTAAAGTTCATTAACAGCCACACATGACGTCACACTGCAAGTCTGTTATTGTCCATAAAGTTCACGCACAACACATATATAGAGAACCAAAGAATGTGTGTGTGTGTGTGTGTGTGTGTGTGTGTGTGTGTGTGTGTGTGTGTGTGTGTGTGTGTGTGTGTGTGTGTGTTTTAACAGGATACACCCGGTATACCAGGAAGTCACTTGGAAACACACAAACTCTCCCTCTCTGTACCTCTTCCTGGAAATGATCACCACCCACCCTCATACTCAGACTCTCTTGCTCTCTTTCTCACATGTGTCCTGCCTTCCTCCCACTCTCTCCTGTTAATGAAAACACACATTAATGTTTCTCTTATTTGACTGTAAAGGTCACACTTGAATACAGCAAGTCGACTCCAAAGGAAGTCAGTAAATACAGTTAAGGTGAGCTGTTTCCTCCTTTTATTCTTCTGATTCTGTTAGAGAAGCTTTGCATGATTCCGTATTCAGAATAATCCTTCTGTGTCTGATTCTGGGTTATAGTGCGGCCTCTTCCTCTCTTTTGATTGGTTGTTCTCTGCCAACAGAACCTTGTAAGTATTATATTGTGCTGTGTCTACTGGAGAAAAAAAGACAACATGAAGCTACTGAAAACATGACTTGTGGTTGTTGGTTTGGACTGAACTGGTACAGCTGAAGGCTCAGCTTCATACTGGGATCTTGTGATTCCTGTATGAAGTGAACGCTGATCTGAAAATAGAAACTTTATCTTTTTTTTTCTTCCTTCATACAGGTAAACAAACTATGATGAGATGACTGTGAGGATATCCTCTCTGTGTGATATCATACAGCCAGGGTCGCCACAAGGAGGGGCCGGGGAGGGGGGGGGGCACTGGTCCACCCTAGCAAGGCTGTTATATGTTGGTATTATTTTAATAAACATGAGGTTAGAGAGAGAGGAAGACACCCTACAGTGAGTTGAAACATTAACCGTTATTTATTCCTGCATATACTATTTTGCCATTCGTATTGTGTCACTTTGTACAGGGAGTGCAGAATTATTAGGCAAGTTGTATTTCTGAGGAATAATTTTATTATTGAACAACAACCATGTTCTCAATGAACCCAAAAAACTCATTAATATCAAAGCTGAATGTTTTTGGAAGTAGTTTTTAGTTTGTTTTTAGTTTGAGCTATTTTAGGGGGATATCTGTGTGTGCAGGTGACTATTACTGTGCATAATTATTAGGCAACTTAACAAAAAACAAATATATACCCATTTCAATTATTTTTTTTTACCAGTGAAACCAATATAACATCTCCACATTCACAAATATACATTTCTGACATTCAAAAACAAAACAAAAACAAATCAGCGACCAATATAGCCACCTTTCTTTGCAAGGACACTCAAAAGCCTGCCATTCATGGATTCTGTCAGTGTTTTGATCTGTTCACCATCAACATTGCGTGCAGCAGCAACCACAGCCTCCCAGACACTGTTCAGAGAGGTGTACTGTTTTCCCTCCTTGTAAATCTCACATTTGATGATGGACCACAGGTTCTCAATGGGGTTCAGATCAGGTGAACAAGGTGGCCATGTCATTAGTTTTTCTTCTTTTATACCCTTTCTTGCCAGCCACGCTGTGGAGTACTTGGACGCGTGTGATGGAGCATTGTCCTGCATGAAAATCATGTTTTTCTTGAAGGATGCAGACTTCTTCCTGTACCACTGCTTGAAGAAGGTGTCTTCCAGAAACTGGCAGTAGGACTGGGAGTTGAGCTTGACTCCATCCTCAACCCGAAAAGGCCCCACAAGCTCATCTTTGATGATACCAGCCCAAACCAGTACTCCACCTCCACCTTGCTGGCATCTGAGTCGGATTGAGCTCTCTGCCCTTTACCAATCCAGCCACGGGCCCATCCATCTGGCCCATCAAGACTCACTCTCATGTCATCAGTCCATAAAACCTTAGAAAAATCAATCTTGAGATGTTTCTTGGCCCAGTCTTGACGTTTCAGCTTGTGTGTCTTGTTCAGTGGTGGTCGTCTTTCAGCCTTTCTTACCTTGGCCATGTCTCTGAGTATTGCACACCTTGTGCTTTTGGGCACTCCAGTGATGTTGCAGCTCTGAAATATGGCCAAACTGGTGGCAAGTGGCATCTTGGCAGCTGCACGCTTGACTTTTCTCAGTTCATGGGCAGTTATTTTGCACCTTGGTTTTTCCACACGCTTCTTGCGACCCTGTTGACTATTTTGAATGAAACGCTTGATTGTTCGGTGATCACGCTTCAGAAGCTTTGCAATTTTGAGACTGCTGCATCCCTCTGCAAGATATCTCACTATTTTTGACTTTTCTGAGCCTGTCAAGTCCTTCTTTTGACCCATTTTGCCAAAGGAAAGGACGTTGCCTAATAATTATGCACACCTGATATAGGGTGTTGATGTCATTAGACCACACCCCTTCTCATTACAGAGATGCACATCACCTAATATGCTTAATTGGTAGTAGGCTTTCGAGCCTATACAGCTTGGAGTAAGACAACATGCATGAAGAGGATGATGTGGACAAAATACTCATTTGCCTAATAATTCTGCACTCCCTGTATGACCCTCACGGTTTCCTGCTACACCCCTGTGCTGTTTTGAATTGGTGTGCTACCCCAATATTTTTAGTGGTCGCCATATGGCCATACATTGAAAAAATTCAGGAGGTGGCCCTGCACAGAGCTTGCTGAATGTAAGATGCTGGCAGTGGTTGGAGGAGCATGAAGTAGAAACATGTTTAATATGAACATCCAAACTTGGAACAGGAGACAGCAGACAGCAAGTCGAGAGGAGCACTCAATCACCGTTAACGGTTCTTTAGTGTCATAAACGAGTCAGAGTGGCTGGTAAAACTTGAGGGTAAATTTGATATGAGCAGCCATGTCTTGTGAAGCCATCTGCGGGAGGATCCAGTCGGTACACAAAGTTGTGCCAAGGCTCAGGTCTGACTCTGCTGTGAGGATGAACGAGGAGATCTGAAAACCAAACTGAGCATAAACAGATGAATGAATTCGAACAACTAACTCTTTTTCCAGGCTAAATGAAGATCTTCTAAATTAGTGACACACCATTTCCTCTCCAGCTTATGGGCTATCTGATTTGTTCAGCAGGTCATGGTTTTGTACCTCTGCAGACTATTTTATCATTTGTTTATTTTTAAGGGATTAGTGTTTTTTTAAACCCTGTAAATAGTCCCTGAAATAAAAGCCATTATTATTTATAGAAATTGTGGAAATTCTTTGTCTGCTGAGATATAATCACACAGAATTAATCTCACAGGGAACACTTGTCACAGGAAACTGATTACACCTCCACAACAACAAAGCCCACAATGCGGGAACAGTGTGACGTCTGGACGTTCACATACTGTGTGCAGTCATTTCACTGCTTCTGTGCAAAACCAATCCTAAGCACATCAAGCACTCAAACGATAGCAGAAAATGCAAAAGGCACTAAAGCAAAAACTGCTTTAAAAGGTGAGACACTACAAAGAAAAATATGAGTGGCATCTGAAGAGCTTCTTTGACAGCCAGAGGAGTCCACATCTTTTTCACACAGAGCTGCTACCAGCCCAATGTTGTTTGTTAATGAAGTTTTTCAGCTGAAAGGTTTTGTGGAATCTTTTGTTCGTGGAGTCCAGAAAAAATGAAGTCAGATGCTGACAGTGGCTTGGAGCCGAAGAAGGACACAGTTGAGTTATATAACGGCACAAAGCTTCTGGAATTATTGAAGAAGAGTCAGTTTGTGACTGAACGGTGTGGACAAGAGGATTTTTGCAGCCTTATGTCATATGGATTTGGAAAATATTTGTAATTCACAATTGCGTGATCTAAAGTCTGTGGTACACAATTTACTGCAAACTGCATGAAATCTAACGCAGAAAAAAATCTTCTTCTGCCTGTTGTGGTTGTGATAGCTGCTACTAGAAAAGTTTATGAGGGGGACATGTCTTGAGAACAAGTGCATAATTGGCTCAAAGCTGTGAGCTCGTTACCAAAACTCTGTCACAAACGTCTTCACTCAGTTTTCATGCTGTGTTAGAGGCAAATACACTTATTTCTGCTCCCCAGTAATACTGTATTTTACTGAAACAGGCAGAAATGAACTGAACTCTGAGGGGCACTTTTCTCTACTGAATCTGTAACAGATAAATGCAGAAAATCCATCTTTTAATGAATTGTGTCAATGTGTTAGATTATTGTCTGAATGTTGCAGTGTGCTATAAAAAAAACAAACAAACTAAAAACGTGGTGTGGCAAAGTAACATTAACTGTGACAGCTCGTGAGCTGACAGTAAATAATGTTTTTTTTATACATTGTGGAGGCCAGCTGTTCACACAGATTTCAGGTTTATGGTGAAACAGTTTACAACATTTAATTTTTTTTACAGTTTTTCTCGATTGCTAAAACACATTTCTTGAAACTACGCCTCATATCCTCACAACAGTAAACACAAATCCATAACATCTCACTCAATTTCCCAAACATCCTATTTCCAGGTCAAAATGAAGCTCTACACCCAAAACTATTCACTCCTGCTGAAAAACCAAACTT